CTCAAAAAAACTTGTTCTCAGTCCCTTTACACAAAGAGAAAAAATAAGTTTAATTGGGAAATTGTATGAAAATTATTAGTAATTCACTTTATAAAGAGTTATTTTTGTTTTCATAGTTTATAAAGTCAAATTTTTATAATATTTTAACTACAATTATAACTACAAATTGTAGAATGTTTCTTGAAATTGAATTGTATTTAATAATATAAGATCACAGAGAGCGGTATGGCATATCGTGGGGTTATTTTATTTAACAATTGATTCCCATAAGAAAAAAGAATTAATAGTTATTAAATTCTTCTATATTTTACTAATTTCCATTTTTAAATATTGTGGAGAATAAATTGTGGAATACATATTATTTGAATCAAGGTGCATTATTATGTGCTATAGTTTATTATATATTATTATTTATATAATTCATATTCTAAGACTAGAGAAAGTACAATTTTGAATGGAATTGTTGTAAATTTTATTTATTTTTTTTTATTTTATTAATTGAAATTATTTGAGCTTCAAGTTGTGGAATATTTATTGAAAAACAAATTACAAATAAAGCTGCTGCATTCCACGAGGTTGTTTCTTTATAAAACAATATTATAAATCCGGAAAAAAATGTTGTATAAAATTCTTCTTTATTTAATTTTTTTACTATTTCTATTATTATTATTTATCATAAAAATTCTGTGATTTTAAATAATGAGATTATGCTACCTATTAAATGTTAATCTACACATATTTAAGATTATACATATAGATCAAGCAAATATTTTGTGCCAGGTGTATACTCCCACAAACTCTTCCCTATTCCCGACACCCCTAACCCCCCAATCCTCCTTTTGTCATATGTGTGTCAGACATTGTCATTAACCAAAAGGGAGGAAAACTGAGTGGAGGAGCTGAAGGTGGTAAAGGAGCTCTGGAAACAGTTTGCTCTGCGGCCAGCTGTTGTCTGTCCCACTCTATTTTCCCCCCGCTTTTCTATTTCCCCCCTCCCCAAGCCCCACCCTGCTCTTAGTTGTTGTTTTTGCATAGTTAAAACCGTTATTTACATAACATGTGCATGCATTTTACATGACACGGTTAACCATCTTCTTCTTCTTCTGGCCGTGTCAAACAATTAAGCATAATTGCTATATGAAACAAGCAGGCAGAAGCAAAAGATGAGATGGTATGGGGCATGTTTTTCCTTGGGTCTTAAGTTTTAAGTTCCACAAATGCCTCAAGTCTTGAGCCTGCTTAAATGTTAGTGTTTATAGCCTAGATGACATTGTGTTAAAGCTATTGGCATTAAACCAAGTTAGTTACAAGCTAAGCTAGTCGGGTTTCAAGTTTCTGGAATGTGGGTGGGAATTACTTTATAAATAGATGGGTAGAAATATAGTTCTGTAAATCATATAAGATACTAAGAAACAATTCTATCTATCTATTAGTTACCCAGCAAATTAAAATTTAGCATTTAACCCAAATCTCATCCCCCTTTTCCACAATGATATCTTGTTAGTGTGCCACCCAAGGCGATGCCAACACATTCTGTTTAATAATGATGATGGCCGATTGTCGTCTATTCATTTAATTTGCTTGTGCTAATTTTCCAAGCTTGATACGGCAAAAGTCATGCCTCGGTCGATTCAATAAAGTCATTAGCTAAAGTAGCCAATGCATCCCCATTGGGGAAGATGAGAGGAGAGAATCCAGAGAGAGATGCGGGATGCGGCCCACTGACTTGGCAAATGGAAAGTGCAACGAGCCAGCGACTGATGCTATTTCTACACCGAAAATAATTTTATATAAATCCAATTTATTTGGAATTTTTAAGAGGTGATGAGAATACTAAAAAGGCAAAATATGAACAATTTCTAAATGCAATAAAGTGTCTTAAGCAGGCTACAATGTCTGAAAGCTTCCTTATAATTTATGGAATCATTATATTTCGTACATTTCTTAATTTTTCATGAGTAAAAATATATTTATTACAAGAAAAAAATTAAATTTAAATAATAATAAATAGATATTTCGAGAGCCAGTGCCTAAAAATACAAAGCTAACCTTTGCAACAAAGACTCAATATTTATTGCAAGCAAACTTTGTTTATTTCTTATTTTAAAATGAGATATAACATTATTCTTTTAATATAAAAATCTAAAAATACAAACAAATTTATTTCTCTCTGTGTAAACTCTGTTTGCTGCAACTGCTGCTGATGTTGCAAGAACAAGTCGTGTGCATGTGTGCGCATTGTTAATGGCTCCCACTGTCAGTTAATAATTCTGCGTGCCGCTCTCCACGCCCCAGGGCGTTGCCAACTAACTAACTAACTAACTAACTAAACTAACCAACCAACTACCAAGATGGTCCGTTATCTGGCTAGAAGACGATTTATGGTCTAGAAAAGGCGGAAGCATAGAGATTTGTAAAAAATATGGAGGAGAGTTGGAGTAGAACTTTGTGGGGTGGTACCAAAGCTGTAATTGCCATTTAATTTATTTCGAGGAATTAGTTTTGAATAGATTTATTATGAAATAATTATTTAATCCTCTTTCTTACTTTATTATTTATTTATTTGAATATTAGTACTCAGTTCCTAGACCCTATTTCCTGGTTTTTAATCGGATTCTTTCGACACTTGAAACTTCACTTTGATAAATAAATAAACAGAACGGAACAAAGCCTGGCACCACCAGAATTTCCATAGACTGCTCAGATGGTTTAGAATGGCCACTCAATTGTATCTGGATTTATCTTATGGTTTCGGATTTTTCTTTCTTTGGAAAACCCCTAAGAAATCTGCTCACCGATGCAGTCGATAAATCACGTGCGCCACTCAGGAATTATGATTGAAAATAATTTAAAGCCCGGTCTTTACTGTGTTTGGTTGACTAATTAAATAGGCGACTGCTTTTATGTTATGTTAATTAACAAACACCTTTAGGGATGAATATAATATCTAACTGAATATACACCATAACTTAATTAAATAGATTTCAATGTCTGCGAAAAACCATTCATACATTTTCCCAACAAAAATCCCACACAAGTTTCTCTGATATGCAGATAGAAATATACATATATATACATATATATTCGTATGTATAAGCTCCCACATCATAATGGAATTAACATATTGTTAATCACTTGCAGATATTGTTGAAAAACAAGTTTTCATTAGTGGGGAAGCCAAAGGTTAGACGCAAAGAAAAACCTCTAATGAGACCGACACAAGTACTTCAAATGTAACCCTAAGAATTCTTTTACTAGCTTGATTAAATAGACCTCGAGTGCGTATTGTAAAGAATATATATATGATATATATATTTATGTGTAAGTATCGTTTAAGTTGAGTCATGCGAATATTTCTGATCATCTTTTGGCCGCTGCCCTTTTAATGTAATTTAATTTGTGCCTCATTCCAGTTTGTCAGTTATTGAACCGGTTTGCTATTGTCTCTGCCCCACAGTTCCTTCTCACTATATTCATTCCTTTATTTATGATTTTTTAACTCAGAGTTCAAGGGCATATGTATGTATTAATACATAACTTGAATATTTATCAAAATAAGTTCTATTAAATATTTAATTATAAATCTTATATATAAAAAATTAAGGCATTTCATAGTCGCTTTATAATTTTACTTTTTTTTATGCTTTTGGCATATTTTAATTTCATTTGTTTGCCATCAGTGCCTTTTCTTTGACCTTTTTTGTTGTTTGGGGTCCACGCGGCGTATACATAATTTCATAATTTAATTATGTCGCAAAGACAACTTCAGTTTTTTTTTCCTTTTTTATTGTTGCGCGTTTTATACGTATATGCGTATAAATTAATAAGAATGAGAATTTGAGAACTGAAGAAATATAAGGCAAAGACAGTGGCGCGTTATAAGGTTAACAACCTTGACCGCGAATTTTTGAAGAGAAAGATGAGTAGGGAACATTCTTTCATTTAACTTTACTTCGTCTTTATTTTGTTTGGTGTGGAATTTAGCTGATTCTGCAAATGTTTTTGTTTTGTTTTCTTGGTAAAGAAAACCCCTTAAAAGTTGTTGTGTGGCTTTAGCTTTCATATTTCACATTAATATTTTAATTACAGAACCTTGAGGGTATCTAATTAAAACAAGAAAGAAAGCTAACTTCGGCACGCCGAAGTTTATATACCCTTGCAGATAGAACTTCTGTGAATAGGAATCCATACAATATTAATTATATATATTTGTGTTAAAAAACAATGAAGTAATACCTGCTTTCATTTCATTCACCTATACATATTATATTTGCAATTTTACAGTCACAGATTTGCATTTTTCCTCTACATCAAACGATCGTTTGTATGGAACCTATATGATATAGTCGTCCGATTTTCATGAAATTTGCCACAAAATTTAAGACTTATATAAAATGGCTATACCTCAAATTTGATGAAAATCAGTTGAAAACTGAAAAAGTTATAAATTTAATTGTATTAATTTCTCGATCGTTCCTATGGGAGCTATATGATATAGTAGTCCAATTTTCATAAAATTTTATACAAAATTGTAGAGTATAGTAAAATCGCTATATCTCAAATTTGAGCCAATTCTATTGAAAACTGAGAAAGTTAAAATTTTTTTTGTAAAAATTTTCCGATCATTCCTATGGCAGCTATATGATATAGTCGTCCGATCCGGCCCGTTCCGACATATATACGAGTGAGAGTATATAGAAGGCTAACTACAAAGTTTCATTCAGATAGCTTCAAAACTGAGAGACTAGTTTGCGTAGAAACGGACAGACGGACAGACGGACAGAAGGACAGACGGACAGACGGACAGACGGACATGGCTAGATCGACTCGGCTGTTGATCCTGATCAAGAATATATATACTTTATATAGTCGGAGGTGCCTCCTTCACTGCGTTGCAAACTTCTGACTGAAATTATAATACCCTGCAAGGGTATAAAAATAGACTTTTAAAAGCAAGGTTTTGGGTTGATTAATTAATAAAAATATAATTATAAACTTACTTGAAGCTTATTTTATAAATCCAAACCCAATTTAATTAAGCACACTTTGATTTTTCTTCTGCTATAATCCATGACTTGGGGTATGCGTATTGTGGTTTTATGAGGATTTATCTAAAAAGAGATAGAAACATTAATTAATTAGGTCAACGAATTAGATTTTATTTACAAATATTTTATGAATTCATGTAAGTATTTTTTTTAAATGAGGTATTTTTCTCAAGCTAAAAACTATTACCTAAATTTGATTAAAATATGATTAAGATTCAAATAGCCTTTAATAGTTTTCTGGGAATTAAAATGTTTGATAAGGTATATTTTTCTAATTAAACAATTTTCGCATTTCCTTTGCCTTTTTAGTTTACACCTCAGTTTTAAGTCACTTATCTATAACCAATTATATTAATTATTTATTTATATTTGTATACTTGTGAGACTTCCCCTTCATCTGTCACTAATCAAACACCTTAATCGGTAACCTTTAATCACTTCCCCTAATTAAAAGATAAACTATAAACCTAAACTATGCACAATTGCAGCAGCAATTACTTAAAATCTTATCAACAAATAAGGTTTGGAGGGTTGGCAATTGTGCCTTGAATTGCATGACAATTACCCCCAAGCTGGAGCTAGAGAATTTCAACAAAAATTTGTATGCCAGTTGCACAGCAATGACAATGGTTAATGGGAACCCCCTTTCGCTTCCGATAACCCCCTCCATGTCCATGAAAATTGCGTGAATCACGTTAGTCGGCGGCGGCTTGACAATGGGTGAAACGCAATCAAAAGTACTTAAAAACCTCACCGAAAGTTGACAAGCATCCAAACGACAATTCGAAATGGTTTTCGGTTGATTTTGATGGCTTTCTAATGTTTCCTCATGTTTCCCCTGTTTTTGGGTTGAGCAAGAAGAAAACACTTTAATTAGAGAGACTTGCAGTTCAGCATATGAATTATAATTGACCCCCAAAAATTATAGTTGTGTCTCTCTGTTGAGTTGTTTTTTTTTGTGTTATGCAAGTCAAAGCCTTTACTCTTGACCTGTTCAAGCATTTTTTGGTTGATTGAGCAATTGAATGCCACCGCAGAGGGGGAATACACAGAATATACAGAATTTTTGTTCAATTTGAGATGAAGAATTTCGTAATCAAAGTCTGAAAATACAATGAAAATTTATTGACTTATTCAAATGGGAAAATAAATTGAATCAAAATCGAGTTAAATAATCTTTATACAAAATCAAATTCAGTTATTATCAAAGGGAAAGTATTTCAATATAACTTCTATAAGACCTTATTAATAAACTGTGATTTGATTGATTGTATTATATTATTTATTTGTATATATTTTAATAGAATTTTCTGTTCATTTTCTTAGACATTTAAATAGCTTGGCATGTTGTAAAGTTGTAAAGGAAACATTAAAATTAAACCACCATCAAAACATTTAAATTTTCTTTGCTTCCCGAAAGCAAATGTAGCCTCATTTAAAATGAGGAAGCTTACAATAACACAATATTCAAATGAAAAAGAGAGGTTTTTCATTAATTAAAGTGCTCATTAGTGATAATACAATTTTAGGCACACTTCGATTACATTGCCAAGAACTTGAAATTAAATTTAAAAATATAAACTTATCCTAAGGGAATAACAAATTCTATTTATATTTAATTTATATATAATCTACACGATTTTATTTATATTATATAAAGTACCAGGTACCAAGTACCTGTATTATATTTTAGGTAAACAAGTGCCAGTATTATAAACACTTTTAAACCCTCTAAACAACTTGTATAGTACAAGTTAAACATATGTTTTTCTATATAAACTTTTTTGTGATAAGTTTTCAAACAAAACCCAATACTTTTGGAAGTCCATTAATTCTAAGTTAACAATGATTTCTACCGAAATGAGTGCTGCACTTTCGTTGAAAGCCTCTCCCCTCTCCTCTTAATTGGAACCAAAAGCATCCGTCTGAGGCAGCTCATCTAATTTCCTGTTCGACAATGGAAAAACCGTTTCAACTTCGAATCAATACGACGGGAACTCCCGCTCACATACACTCGAAACAAAGTGTATAACAAAAGAATCTCTGAACCGCAGCCTCCCTCCGAAAAAAAACATAGAGCGCTGTGCACTTAAATAGCTGCATAAATTTCAATTAAAATGCAGCAAAATAAGAAAAAATAACAAACAAAACGAAGGAATAAACCCTATAAAAGATGAAGCTATTCCAAATCCAATTAAAAGGGCACTTAATTACGCAGTCAAAGTGTGTAAATGTGAGTGTAAGAAATAAAGATAACTAAAGAACACTTGTAAGAGAAAAAATTAATGCAAAAATATAATTTGCATAAGACAGGCAAAAGTTTTCGATTGACCATGAAGACGCCTGCGCAACCATTGCAATTTTACAGTGGGTTTTTAGATGGTAAATTGTTTATGTAATTTTTTGTAAGTTGATATACCCTTCCAGTTCGCAATTAGATTATAGGAGAGCATTGGCAACTAAGCTTTAAATATTCGCATTCTTTGAATCAATTATCTATATTTTTATATGTCAATGTTTTGCACAAATCAAAGTTTAAAAAACTCATAACTAAGCCAAAAATGCATTAATTTTGATTCGGACAGCTTTCCTAAGTTAGTTTTTATAGGGTTATTAAATTTGCATACTCAATTTAAAATTGAAAAAATTTAAATTTTTTACCTCTTTTTTTAATTTTAAAGATGAAAAAACCTTGAAAAAAATAAAAAAATTTTTTTTCTTTCTGAGATAGCTAGATCGACTCGGTTAATGATGCTGATCAAGAATATATAGGATTTATGGGGTCGGAAATGACTCCTTTAAATTTTACAAGCTTCTGACTAAAATTAGAATACCCTGCAAGGGTATAAAAAAGGATTTCCATTCATATAAAATTGATTCTTAATCAAGATCATTTATAGGAGTTTTCCTGTGTATCAGAACCACTGTTGCCTGCGAGTCTTATATTAGCTATATATCTCTTCTTCGCTCTTGGCAATGCACAAAAAGCTAACCACGCAAGTGTGACGTTGTCAGTTGTTGTTGTTGTAGTTTGTTGTTGGTGTTGTTATTATTGTTGTAGTCTTTTTGTTGATGTTGTTATTTTTGTTGTTGTTGCTGTTGGCCGATGTTATTTGGTCACTCAACCAAAGCTCCACATTTTCCACTATCCACCACGGCCCCCCTTTTTAGCCACAACTTAACGCAATGCCGTCGACCTGCCCACATTATGTAAAAATTGAAAAATCCAATGGGGCGTGGTCGCCAAGCAACACACTAAAAACACGCATATAACAAAAACAAAAAAACTTAAAATAAACAAAAAATGCAGATAAAGTGCATCTCACAGAGGAAAATAATGCAAGACTTGAGTTTACATTTTTGTAACAAGTTTTTGTTCAAAGAGATAAGAAAAACAAGGAATAATTTATAGAAATTTATATAAAATAATAATTAAAATTCAATTTATTGAAATTAAGAATAATATAAAACCATTTTCCCCTGTGCATTCAAAAAAAACATAAAGGTAAAGAATCTTTCCAACGACCAGTTTTTGAGGGCTAGCGGTGCTTAACGTCACCTACTTTTCATTTTGGATTTTGGTGTTTGTTTTTGTTTTTTTTTGTAGATAAAATACCTTTTCTTCTGCATGAGTGTGTGTGTGTGCTCTAACTGTTAAAACCGGTTATGTTTTGGTTTTCTTCAAGAGTTTTTTTTCGGGCATTGAAAACGAAATTTATTTTGAAATTGTGTTAAAAGAGAAGAAACTGAGAGGAGCAGAAACGCTACCTGTGGAGTTTTGACCGAATTTTCATTTTGTTGGCATTTTAACATATTTACAGATTCATAAATAATACCAACATAATTATCCCAAGAAAGAGCTCATTATAAAGAATATTTAAAAGCTAACATTTCCTAAAAATACAAGTATCTATTGAGGCAAAACATTTCCCTCCAAGCTTGGAAATTAGTGTTAATTTTTTACCAGTTTGGGAGTTGATGTTATAGCATTTTTCATTCCATTATGTTACTTTTATTTTATTTCTTTGAGCTCAGCCCTAACCAGTTTGATATATAAACAGCATTTGCATATTTTAACCATAAGCCATATAACCACTCCTCAAAACTTGATAAGTAACTTGAGAGATAAGACATCCAAACGTGACCATTACGAATAAAGAAAAATAAAAGATGAAAATAAGGAGAAAACGCATAAGAACATATAAAGAATATAAGAAAGCATTGAAAAAGTCATCGGTAAAAAACGCGTGCCAGGGTCAAGTCAAGTCAAAGTTTTATAAAAGAGAGGTATGTTTTTTATAAAAAATGCAGTTCACAGAACCCAAAAAAGAAACCACTTTAAAAATGATTCTCTTCATTTGGGAAATGTTGTTTTTAATTTCTGTACAACTGATAAAAGAATTTTCGTTTAACACAAAAATGTTTCCATTACTTTTACTTGTCCTATATTATTTCTAATAACACCTAAAAGGCAATGCAAACAATATTTATTTCTCCATCAAAACTGACAGATACTTCCCCCTTTTTATGCCTAATATATTCCTAGATAAATCATGTCATAAATCTATCTACCTTATATTTCCTACATATATTTTTGGCAATTTCTTCTGTACAAATATATTCATTTATTGCTTATTGGTGGTATAAGCAATCCATAAAAACGTCGCTCCAAAAATAGCCCCCCAAAAAGGCGAAACCTTGGCGTGCCTTTGGAAAACATTTAATTATCCTAGTTTTATGGGCACCTAAAATGTTTCCTTGGCTTAGAATAAAACACTTGGGCTAAAGCCCAAAGCTTTGCACTAATTTTACGTAAGCATATCCCACCTCAAAATGTCCTCATTTCCTCCCCTCGACTTGACTTTTCCTACAGTTAATAGGTCACTTCAGTATCAGGATTAGGTCACATGGGCTGCACCCACTTTGCTGGCCAAAAAGGTTAAGTTGGTAATTAAATTTGAGGTCAGTTTTTGCAGTGTGCTTGGAAGGGAGAGAGGGGGGTTCTAGACTTTGTAGCTAACTTGGCTAAAAGCTTTTATCTGCGGGAACGGAAACGAAATGTAATGAAGTCCCTTGCGTGCCAGATTGTCATCATTTGGCTGAGATCATCAGAAGGGAGTCGTAAATATAGTTTGTCAATCTTTCGCCTGGCTGAACGCTCTGATGAAAGGTTAAGATGGTTAAAAAAAACTGAAACAACAACTGAAACAAAAAATCATGACAGTAAGCTGGAAAATGAAGGGATTTTCTTAAGTGCTTCGGGCCAATTTTGTTACTGGCCTCTAATACATTAGATTGTGTTTTTGGTTTTTACGTTTTCATGTAACATTATTACGGATAACTGGTTTGGGGTTGATTCTAAGCCAAATGATGTCAGCACTCGTTAAGTTTTCTGCGTTTTATGCTTTCTTTAACTTTTATTAAATGTGAAAATAAGTTCAGAACCTTTTTGAGTATTGAGGATAATAATTTTCTTAATAAATAATATATATATCTTCTGTTTCTGAATTTCCCTCTAAGGTGTACCTTTCCATTTCGTGTCTCCCGTTTCACTTTTGCTTTTCTATTTGTTTAAATACCTTAATTAGGTGCCAGACTGCACTGCGACATTTCGCGATAATTATTTGTATTTTCCCCTTACCAACATTTCAGAGGGCTCAAACGAAGAACAACAACAATTCCTGTTTTAATTACTCCACAACATTTGCTAATTAAGTTTTTGCAGTTAGGGCGCAACACTCTTATCACAATTTGCGAAAATTCTCAAAGCACTGTGGAAAAGTTTGCATATTTAAGTTGAAGTCGGAGAACTGCTCCAACGATTTCCCCCCGCTTTTAACCGACACCTGCTGAGCTGCTGCCGTGACTGAAAGTCGTTTAAAATGTTTCACTTACTGATGTTGTTGTGGCTGGCATAATTATTTTTATAATTTTTTTTGTTGCTTATTTCTGTGCTTAGAGAGTTGTGAGCTGCAGCTATGTAAATAAATTTGCAGAGGCGTCGGGTGTTCAAGGCAAGACTTTTTGACTTTTGTGTTGTGCAGTTGCCAGTGCACTGAAGTTGTAAATCATTTTTTGAATTTTTAATGACTTTTTCTTGATAAGCCAAAGGGGTTTTGTTGGGAAAAATATAAGAAAAATCGGGGGCTTACTACAACATTTGTAAGCTGATTTAAAAATATGTTATACATATAACTAATAACTAAATAAGCATTTATTTTATATACAAATAAATAATAAAAAAAATCTCTTACTATATGATTCAAAAATTTTACATTCTTGGTTTATCAACCTCATCTGAGTCACGTTCTCAGATAGCAAATCTTATCCGATATTAATATCTGTGTAAACTTTTCTGGGAAATGTCATCGGATAAGCAAGCAAACTGATCGATTCATAGGATAAGTAAACTGGATAAGAACTCAGTTTGTTGTTATAGCAAAGAAAAAATCTACATTGTTTTAATTAATCTTGTAAATGTAAATAAAAGGCACTATAAAGATTTTCATGTAGTTAACATATATATTTATATTTTTTCTTTATTATAAATAATATATTTTTTACCAGATATTTTTTCTGAATTATTATAAATTAAATCTAAATATTATTATTTAATTTACCTTAAAAATTGTTTATATTACAGGAAACCAGCAGGAACCATTGAAAAATTTAAAAACTGGTGAGTTCGACATATATTTCATTATATATTTTATTTTAAAAATGACTTGAAACTTATTAAATTAAACATTAAACATAAAATAAGTATTTACCTTGAATTAAAATAAGTTTTTTTTGGAAAGTAGGCACTTCTCGCTAATAGTAAATATGTAATTTTAATATTTTAACAAGTGATATATTAAATATTTAATCAATTATTTTGAATTCTATCACCTGATATTATTTAAAAACTCGAAAAATACGTCTAAAATCCCAAATAATGTCAACCCCCGAATATTCCTTAAAAAAGAAAACAATTGCGAAAAAAACATATGAAACAATATTTGCGGGCCAACCAGAAAGAATTCCCATTCCAATCAGAGAGGTAAACAAAATTCACAAAAAGGCAACGATATATAAAAAAAAATGCCAACAAACCTGTATGAGTTTCTTGCTGCTCCAACCGCAGTCGCAGTCGCTGCCTCGGCCGGCGTCGACGGCAACGCCAACGCCAAGAACTTCGACTTAAAAGCTCTCACGCGAAGTTGCCGTTGTTGTTGTTGGTTGGTCTTGCTGCTGCCGCTGCCTTTTTGCATGCGCAAACGATGGGGGAGCAAGCGAGAGGGAGCGATATTCAAGCGCGCACACCAACACACGCGCCTTTTGACAGGTAAGCGAAACACGTCGCGCAAGCAGTGGAAGAAGCGGGAGAAGCAATAATGAATGATCGTCGCTTTAACTTTTTGACTGCATTGGTATGCGTGTGTGCATTTTCTTGGCTTTAACACTTTTCAAATAAATATTTCTGCCACTTGTGCACTTGTTGTTAACGGGAATGCACTTAATTTAAAATATTCACCGCACCGGCTGCGCAGGCGATTTATTAAGTTTAACCCACACACGAACACAAGGCGAACAACTTGAATTTAAATGCGGCCAGCGCGGCGTTGAGACAGCGACTAAGCCATGGAATCTGAATGGGCAGTTACTTTGCTACCTTCATGGAAAAGCTCACCTGGCCGGAAAACTTGAAAGTTCGTTTCAGTGTTACCACATACAAGATAACCGAAAATGCCAGAGTACATTGCCTAAAATATCAACGGTCACACTGCAGCAGGGTTATTCAACAGCAAAGGCAAAACTGATAATTGTTAATTAAATTGCTTAAAAAATGCTACGTGCCGGCTGCCAAGTGCTGACACAAACCGCCCTGCCCGCCGGCAAGACGGGCGGCAACAGTTTTGCTTTGGAATTTGTGCGCTGGCGAAGGAAACCCCGATGGCTGCCGGTGGCCAAGAGCAAGGTGTTCCGCGTGCCAGAACGCAAGAAGCAAACGGAGGAGGAAAAAACAGAACTAATGCGACTGCACAACCAGTACAAGTTGGTATAAAAAACCACAGAGAAACATTCATCTAATCACAATATCCATTCAAGAACCCAACTCCGATCCGTGCGTCAGTACCTGCGGGAGGAAGTCATCCGCCATGAGGAGACCTCCACTGCGGATCACATTGTGCTCACACCCGAGCAGGAGGAGGCCGAATTCCAAAAGTGCCTGGATGTGAATGCCGCCTGGAACGCCACAATTGCCAAGGAGCGAGAGGCGAGGCTGGCGAAGGAGCGCGAGGAAAAGGTCGCCTATGTGCAAGAGCGATTGGAGGCGCTGCAGGTGCGCGAGGAGGAACGCAAGGAGCAGGCCAATAAGCGGGTACTCCGCGAGATCGAGCTCTCTAAGACATACATTACCAAGGAAAATCTGAACGCTGCTATCGAAGCGGCCTTGGCCAATCCAGTGGATCACAACTTTGCCATCGATCTGGCCGGAAATCTGTACCGCGGGCGCAATACATCTCAGCTGCTAGAAGCCAATCCCAATCCCAACCCGGAACCCAACCAGCAGGCCTTGAGTAATTAATTTTTCTACTATTGTTCGTTACATTAAAAGTGCTTTTTAGCTTAAATAAGGTGTGAAAGTCTAGATAATGGATCAGGTTAGTGTTATAGAGCTCTCAGGATTCAAGTTCAAATACGAATTGGGCACATTTTGGTGTGGATCATGTCCGTAGTACAAAGTTCTATGTATATATTTAAAGATTTGTTTACGAATTTTAAGCATAGGAATAACTTAGAGTTAGGCGCAGCCTATTTACAATATTACATATCTACTGGGGAGAATTGGATGCAGGATGCTGGTAACGTGTGCTACGTGTTCGGTACCGGATTCGGTCGCTTGGCTGCCGTCTCCTGCTGCTCGAACAGATGCACCCAATCTGGCGTGGCCTTAAGCTTGGCCTGGATCGGTCCCAAATTGATCATGTTGCCGCTGCGCTGCTCTCGATTCGCTGTCACAGACATGAGCTCTTGCAGGTAGCCCGGGTCCAGACCCATATCCAGATCGAAGAGTGTGTCGCCGAGTTGGAGTTTAACTCGTCCCGACCTATAGCGCAGGATCTTACCAATTTGGCCCTCTTCCAACAGGCGCAGAACACTTCCCTTGCCAGCTTTTGTCGACTTGCCGGCAGCAGGACTTGGTGGTTCCGTTTCACTGGCAGTTGGTGACATTGTTGAATCATTATTTGGTGGTTCAGCATCATCCGGATCATCGCTCACACAGGGCAAAACATCCGGCAGTTGCATTAGAAATATCTGCGATTGGCTCGAGTCGAGAAAGTTGCCAATGGTGCGCGGATATCGTCCATACTGTAGGGGAGGTTCCTCCATTCGGTTCATTTGCAACTGCTGCAGGTGCTGAGCCACCGCTAACGTATCTCGGCTTGAAGATGGACTAGGTTCCTCCTGCTTGACCAGCGGTAGGGCCTGGTTGCTCCAAAGACCTACAATTTCAAGAAGTATGATCCCCTTTTCATTAGGATGACGAAATTTGGCCAAGATACGTACCCTCCTTTAGCAGGATGGGCTTCAGGGCATTCTCAGTCTTATTATCCTCCTCATCAGTGGGCTCTGCATCGCTGGCATCCGAATCACCCAGCAGCTCGTTTATTCGTTGAGCCTGTGCCCTGTCGTCCTTGCGATCCGCTCGTTTCCTGGCCACCGCCACCTCTTCGCCTGCTCGGGCATAGGCCGTGCCATTCCCTGTTGATCGGCGTACATGGACATCGCCCGCTCCCTCGGAGAAGAGGCCCTGGGTTTGGATGAGCGTTGAGTTGCCACCACCGCCGCCAACACCCGAATTTCCGCCACGACCACGTGTTGCTCCTGCACCGTTTCCCCGACCACCACGACGTCCGCCCCTGGGCTGGGTTGTGTCCTTGGAGGTCTTAACATTGCTGAGAGTTCACAACGGGTGAAATAAGGTATATACTGAGTAAAGCTAAAATGCTTACGTATTTTTATTTCGCACCGCATTCAAATTGGGGGCAAACACCTTTTTGGTGCCCCCCGCCGCTGCGCCACGTCCACCCAGTGTTAAATCCCGGGCGGGCGTCAATCTGGTCATCCCGTTTAGCGTCTCCAGTGGGCGTGATACGGTTCCCGGTGTCAGATTGCTGCCGTTACTGGTATTATTGTTCGTGGTAGATGCACTACCTCCCGGAATAGACGATGCTGCTGCTGTGCTGGCCGTCATCCTCTTCGCTGGCATGGCGTCCCATTCGCGCCGCCCGTCGTCCTCCCCGAAAGATTCGCTGTTCCTTCGCTGAAAATTCGTTGGTTTCCTATATTTTCTTTTAAAATTGCTTGCTTATTGAGAGCGAGCCACCACGTGCTAGTGCTGTGAAAACATTGATGACACTATCGATAACACCAATTCGTTGGTAGTACCATCTATCGAACCATTATTGAACTACTCTGAAAATGAAGTGTGACCAAATCCCAAATATCAGAGATTTATCGAATTTGCTTAAGAGGTCACACAGTTCGCAGAAAATTCAATTTTGTTTTTATGGAAATTTGGCTGTTTATTCACCAAAACCATCGAAATAATGGCCTCAAAGCGGTTTGGTCCTATGAAGGATCTTGCCAGAGCCAAGAAGCCTCGCCTTGATGTCAGCGTCACCCGCGCCTCGACCCGCCCCAGCCCGCCGAGGAGCATCATGGACTTCTGGGACGATGACGACGATGTGATTTTGATGGCCACCCAGCGGGCGGAGGCGGAAATCGAGGCGGAGGAGCGCAAGAGGCGGGGAGAAGTGGAGGCCCCAAGCAATATCCGCAGCGAGATTACCTTCAGCGAGTTCGCACCCACAGCCCAGGGCTGCACCAGCACGCAGCAAATATTTCTGCCACCCCCACCGCCCGCCAAGAAGTCCAACGTTTTGGATTTGGATGATATATTTGCGGACGACGATGACTTTGACTTCCTGGCCGTTACCCTCATGGATAGCGAGCCCCAGAAGCCCGTGGAGCAAGTTCAGCCCAGCACCAGTTCTGGCAGCAGGATTAGCATTCATCAGAAAACCACCACGAGCACGACAACCATGAATTTCACACAATCGCGGCAGCAGGAGCACCAGATCAAGTTCTTAATGGACCGCATTGAGGCCCTGAAGCGAGACAAGTCGAAGCTGGAAAAGGATCTGGGGGACAGCAACGAACGCAACGAGATCAGATCGGGAGAGGTGAGCCTGCTTCGGGATGAACTTAAGCATCTGCGCCAGCAGCTGCAGGTCAGCAAAATGGAGAAGCTCGCCCTGGCCGACGAGACGAACCGGGATTGCAATAAGAAGGTGGCCGAGGCGGCCAAGCAGATAGCAGCCAAGGATATCGAATTGAAGATTAAGAACGCCGAGTACACCAAGCTGAAGACCCAGCAGCGAGCCCATGAAAAGAGTATGAACATGAGCATGAACACGAGCCTGGCTCCCATCGTTGCTCCCGATGCCTCCGAGCAGCGTATTCTTCTCCAACTCAACCGGCTCAATATACACAGATCGGTGCCACGCTTACTGAGAGCAGATAGTGGCATCGACTTTGAGTATGATGAGGTTCGAGATCAGGATCAAAGGCAGAAGAAGAGGTCACTGTTCGAGACCGAACTCAAACAGTTGCTTCTACATTACGCCCAGCTGCAGGCGCAACCGGAATCGCTGGACAATCTCATCCCTCGAGTCCTCAGCTCCGTGGGTAAGGTGTTTGTCGAATTCGCCTCGTATGCCCAGAGCTTGAAGTTTCCGCCCAACTGCACGCTGTATCCATATAATCCATATAACTTGGACATGGAACCGGAGGTACTGCGGATCTCCCTTACCCAGCCGGGTCATATGTTTGAGAATGAAAGAGCTTTAGTCCTGCGGAGATACATAGGCACCTTGGCCTTGATATGCCGGCAGCACAGTGATATTTCCAGCGCCCTTCTCGAGTGGAAACATAACGAGGAGTTTGGACTATTGGAGCTGGCAACTGAGGCGGTTGTCAAGCTGGGATTTTGCAACGAGATAGGCGAGCATTTTGGATTGCTGGAAGCGTTGGCTTCTCTACTAAATAGTCTCCTCCTTCTGGATGCAGAGGAAATATTGAAGGAAAAGGAAGAGCCACTGTTTGACCTGCTCAAACAGTTGGTGTTTACGCGGCCCAGTCCCTGGGTTTTCAAGGAGCTGAGCTCGTGCTTATTAAACGCCAATCGACAGCCACAGCTGATGGCCAGGATGTGTGTGAAAAGCCCCAGAAATTGCTTTGTTTCGGACCGCGTCCGATCCATTTACCGCTTTGCGCCCGAGTCCTGCTTATTGCAAGTTTATGCCGGCCTTCTGGAGCTGTGCTTCTTCAGCGAGACTCCATTAAGGAGAGATCACTTCCAGCTGCTGCTTCAAATAGGCGGAAATCATGTGCGCTTTGCCTTTGAGTGCTTCAAGAATCCCCCAGATTTTATACTGGAAATGTTGCCTTACTTTGCTGACGACGAGGAGCAAGAGCAGGATCAGACTACGACTTTGCAGGCTTCTGTGTCCAATGGTTCCTCCTCGGCATCCACATCAAACTCCCATCTGAACGGGAACTCGAATTCTGGATCCTCGCAGCGCAGCAACAGCAAGGTCAACGAGTGTGAGTGTTATGTGAAGCTGTGCCTTAGTGCGGTGACGATTATCTTCCAGATGATGCACCAGTGGATGCTGCACGAGAAGAGAGCAGGCACTGAAACAGTGGGCGAGATATCCCGCGTTTCTGTCCATCTGCTCAACCTCATCTTCCATGAGTACTATCTGACCTGCCTGTTTCGCGATTCCGAAGAAACCACTAAGCACTATCTTAGCCTCACCTGCAGCTGGTGGCGGGAGCACGCGGACCTTTTGGGTTTCCAGCCCATTCAGTGTAAGTTTCGAACATAATTTCTTTGAAAAACAAGTAAACTCATGTAATTTCCTCTCCCCCTTTAGTGCGTTTACTTGGCCGGCTGGAGAACTCCCACTTTATGCTCAAGCCCCTGCATCAGGAGGCGAATCCTAAGAATCCGGGTAACGATCTGGCCGAATGGAGTCGCATTGTCAAAGATGCGGACACACAAAAAGAAAATAACTCAACGCAAATATCGTACAATTCTAAATTACTCGACGTCGACTTCTTTGCGGGCCTTAAACAAGTGGATTACACCTTTGAATAATTCGTTTAATTCAGTTGTTGGGTTTAACTAGTTTTTGTTTAGGTTCAAAGTATAAAATCTTACTTAGGTAGTTCTATTAAATTGTAAAATTTCCATATCTAGTATTAATAAATTGTCTGATACCAGGTTCGTCTGTGATTTTGAAAATGAAATCAAATCCGTTTAGAAATATTTTGTCTTGGGCTTAAACAAATCATTAAAAGTCTGATGAAATAAAAATTAAATAAACCGCTCAAGAACAACGAAAATATCGATAACAGTTGATGGTTTTCTTAAGCCAGTTCCGATTACAATGAAGTTGTTTGATTCACTTACGAACTAGCTTGAACAGCTGACTATATGCTCACTTCAACTAGTTCGGTTTACAAATAAAGCGCAATTTTTACTTATTCCCAGAACTCAACTTAAAAATTGCTTATTTAAGAAGAAATAACGATTTGCATCGCTCGCAAATATAATAGTCGACGTTCCGCATATTCACTTGTGATATATTTTAGTTTGATGTGCCGAAGGTACTTCGATTAAAGCAAATACAAGTGTCTTTAATTTTCGGCCTCTATATTGTTGACGATTTGCTGAATGCTCTAGGTAATGTTTTATAAAATTTCAAAGTACGGGGCGGGAAATGTGTCAAATATAATATATAATATATATTTTAAAGAATCCTGCTTAAATTGACCATGTCTCCCGATCTCCCCTGTTTAATCCTTAAAAAATTATATTCTTACATATTTTTAGTGAAGCCAGAAAATGAAGACTTCACCAAACATAACCGACTTGCCGCTGGAAGTTCTTGGCTTAATATTTAAGGAGTTGCCGACCTTGAAAGAGCAAATATGTCTGGCTAAGGTTCATCCCCATTTTGAATTGGCATTCTCTTGTCACTATAGGCATAAATTTAGGAATCTCAACATTTGTGACTTGACCAAAACGGAGCGGAAGTTAATGCTCCCCTTTGCGGATCAAACGTGAATTATATTAAGGTCCATGAATCTTTCGACGACACTATGTTGAAATTAGTGAAAAAACACTGCCCAAACCTTCAGTACATAGAGCTTGAACTTTCGGAGAAAAATATCAAAGGCGTAAAATCGATTCTGGCAAAAGTTAGAAGCCTGAGAACAGTTTCCATAATCGCCAGCTCGATAATGGGAAATGATCTGGGGATTGTCAAACTACTGAAGTTTCAACGGAATTTAAAACGTCTTAATTTATTTCATTTCTGCGCCGACGAATGTAAGAACTTATTGATTGAAATTCTAATATGATTTTAGTCTACATCGAACATCGGCATTTCTTTTTCAGTTATTGAAGTGCGTAATATGGTGAAATTGGAGGAGCTGATAATTTGCAGTCGCTCGGATGATATTAACTTAGACGAGCTGTGCAATCGTCTTAAAAAACTTCGAAAGCTGCAGGTTATTGGCAAGGTTTTCACTGCTTCGCAAGAATTTAAAGTAGCACCTTGTCCGGCTCTAAGAGAACTCCATCTACAAGCTCGAATCACCCCTGACGTCTTAGCATGGATTCTGGCCCATGCCGAGACACTAGAGAGATTGAAGTTTAACACTAGATTTTATGGATACTATGATCCAAATATAGTCTTTAGCGAAGTAGTATCAAAATGCAGAAATTTACGCTCCCTTTGCATGCCAATTGACCAAGTGAATAAGTATTTTATCCGTCAGGTAATTGAATTTATTTCCGAAAGTGAGTTGACATTAAAAGAGCGGCCGCTGGACGTAAGTTTTCATAATCCGAGAATGGATCACGAAATTCAAAAAGTGGTAAGTGATTTCGAAATATTTTTAAGGCTCATTTAAAATGATTTCTTTTTTGCAGCTTTCCAAAACATCAGCTAAGCAGGTAATTGCTTTGACGGATTGTTTTTGAAAAAATGTATTACCTAGATGTTTAAGCTGAAATAAATTTCATAAATTTTCAAATTCATAGTTGTAAAAGTTAAATATTTCTTAATTTTTATTACAAATACGAGCTCAAGCTTTTCAATAATTCATAGTCTGGTTATTACTTCTCTCATAAAAGTTTAATGAATCCATTACCCTACAAAAAAATTCCATTTTATAAGATCGTAACTTCTAAATAGTGAGTTAACTTAATACTCTATTTTTTACGTGTATTTCGATATGACATTAAAAAACAAGCCTATTTGAGTTGAGTTTCCGATAGTACAAAATTAAATAAACCGCCCAATACAGTAAAATTGCCTATCGATAATAGTTAATTTGACCGAAGTGTGCGAACTAGTTCCAATGAAGTTGTTTGGTTCAGTTGCGAACTAGCATGATCAGCTCTTTTCAACTGGTTCGGTTCATAAAAAAGCGCAGTTTTCTTTCATTCCCCCAGTAAAAGTTAAAATTTGCAAAGAAATAATGTTTTGAATCGCTTGCAAGTCTAATAATTGCGATTCCAAGTATCCGCGTGTGCTATCTATTAGAGTAGTGTGTTTCAGGCGCTTCAATCAAACCAAATATAAGTGTTTTATATTTGCCGGCTTCACTTGTTGACGATCGACGCTGCTCCAAAGGTATGTGCAAATAAACAAACTTACACATACATACATACATGTACATATATGGCACACCAATCTTATTACATCAGGTTTATGTACGAAACACGCAAATTATACGTTTGTGTATGTTTATTTATATATATATAAGTATTTATTCATTTTGTACATCGCTTCCCTGCAATAAGTCGTGTCATTATCATGCCACCTTCGTCTTCTGCTGAACCAACTCTCTCGCTCTCTCATTTTCTCTCCTCACAACATACATACATCAGTATTCATTAGTCGAAACATACATTAATTACTGATGAATACTGATGGAAGCAGCTTTCATCAATTGTTTGTATGGAAATTCATTAACTGTATTTCATTTAATGAATTACCTGATGAATGATACTGCAGGGTTAAAACTCAATGGGTAGATGTGATCATCATTAAACTTGACATCGCATTTAAACCTATTAGGAATTTAAAGATGTACATACATACAGATGTATAAATATGTAGGGGTTTTTACACATGTATGTATGTATGTACGAACGTATGAATTTAATTTTATTTACAAGTAAGCTCTATATTTGAAACTAATTAATAAGCATTTCGTCTACTACTAAGATAATGTGGCAATCTTTAATCGGTGCCTAAGATATTTTCTTAACCATTGAAGTGTATAAGTGATATGTTTTTCTTAACGTGTACGTGTAAGTGATAATGCAGTGATAAGGGACAAAGCTTCCAAAACCGTGAATACTAGTAACAATTCATAGAAAAAGTCGTAAGGGAATTTCATCACTAGTACAATATTGTGTGCTGTTCAGTCGCTTGGCGAGCTTCGTTCGGAACAGATGCGATATGGAACGGAATTATAAATACAGTGCGGAATATTTCGAGAGAGCTTTGCGGATAGCTCATCGTTGTGAAAAGCTGCTCGTGGAGAATTTCCACATCGAGGCAGTGAACCAAAGTGGTGAAAACTTTTGCAGCGTCATCTACCGGATTGCATTGCAGTTTCGCCGTTTCCCAGAAGGCGCTGTAGAATCGGGAAAATATATACTTAAGGATGTACTACCAGCAGTGGCGGAACTAGGCACAGACGAAGGGGTCATGTTCAAGCAGATTCTTCCAGCAATTTCAATAATTCTAAAAAAATCCAAAGCAAACCTAGGCGAACACAAAATAAGTGCAGAGTAAGTACAAACAATGTTACAAACTACATTTTATTTGCAACTTGTTATTATTTATATATCCATTTTCAGTTGCCTGCTAACCGAGAGGTCCGCGGGAAAGGAGATATATATCCTGGAAGATCTGGGCGCACTCGGTTACACCTGCCTTGATCGATATGAGGGTCTGAACTTGGAAGATGCCAAGATTTGTCTGCGGAAAATGGCTCAATTTCACGGCGCTTCTATGATATTGTATCAGAATCAACCTGAACTGCTGGCAAAGTTATCGCCATCGAATTATGCCCAGGGAATATCAGATCCATTTGCCAAGGGTATCCTCCTAGATGGCACGGAATTTGCGGCTAATTTATTTGCCGGAGAATTACCGGAAATATCAAGGAAAATGAAGGCTCAAATACCGGAGGCCTATTCCCAAAGATTGCAAAATGTTGTTGACCCAAAGAAATCCAAATTTAATGCTATCGTTCATGGCGATCTTTGGGTGAACAATATTATGTTTGATAGGGCTAACAATAGGGCAATTCTAGTGAGTTGTAAAGTCATTTGTTCTCTTATTGTTATATTTATATTTATGTATTTCTTTAAATCGTTTTTAGGTGGACTTTCAAGATTGTTTCTGGGGAAGTCCCGCCATTGATCTGCAGTTCTTTTTTTACACCAGTCTTCAGCTGGAAATTCTTCTAACTCGCCAAGATGAACTTTTAAAACACTATTTTCATTGTCTCCATGAGACCTTAACTTTTTGTTTCTTTATGGAACCCGTGCCTACTTTTGATCAATTAAAGGATGAGATGCATCGTTGCTTATTTTATGGATACTATGCTGTTACCTGTGAGCTACCCATATGTTGTGTTTCCGCAGAGGCAAGTGCTGGTTTTAATCTACACACCCTTGGCGATCCAGCAGCAATGAGAAGCAAACGTCTTCAGCTTTTCTCTAATAATCGAGTTAGAAGAACGGTTAAGGCCAGTTTGCTTAAGTTTGATCAGCAGGGTATACTGGAAATACATTAAATAAAGAGTTTTGTATTGAATTTTTAAGAATTTTAATTGGGAGAAGACACATATTGCTTTTAATATTTACAAAATCGATTTAAATTAATAAAATTAAAAAATATCTTAAACTTGTCTCATTATTATTTGAATTAGTTGGGTATATGAAACTAAATATTATTTTATTGTTAAAATATCGTTTTATATATCCAATTATAGTATTGATATGTCTTTTGCTATACCAAGGTAGAATTTTTGTTAATTTTCCACCACTCGGTATTATTTATATTTCTATATTCCTGATTCATTAAATTTTGCCAACTCCCCCACTCTTTGTCCGATTCCCAACTCAAGTGTTACTTCTTGTGTTTATAAATAAATTTGTTGTCTGCCAAAGTTTCTGTCCAGGATTTGGGTGTGTGTGCGTGTGTGATGCATGAGCCTCGCCTGGCTGCATTCAATGCGATAAAGTTCTCACCTCCGAATCCGCCCTGCAGCCTCCTCCTCAGGAGCTAAATATGCAAATCGCTTTGCAGTTATTCTTAGAAAGTTGTCAGCTGCCAACTTGGCTCCAAGTAAAGCCAAACGAAGCGAATCCGAGGAGCATATAGGGAGCGGAATCCAAATCCAGTTGTCCGGAGGAACATTCATAGGGAGTGGGAGTTGGAGGAGTATGGGTGGTTAAGTGCATTTGACGCCAATGTTACTGCTTGGAACACGCTTTTGTTCTTCTTTCAAGTGTTTAAAAAGCAATTTATTGTTTTTGCTTAGAAGAAGGAAGTCAGCTTAACTCATCCTTAGCTACTGTTTTGCAAAGTAAATACTGGAAAATCACTTGTGGCATTTATTATACCCTTGTAGGGTATTATAATTTTAGTCAAAAGTTAGAAAAGCAGTCATTTCAGATCCTATAGAGTATATATATTCCGAGTCCGATTACCCAAGTCCGTCGGTAACAAACTACATAGTTTGCGTAGAAACGGTCTCTCAGTTTTGAAACTATCTCGTTCGAACGGATCGGATCGAAGAACTATATCATATATCTATAACAGGAACGATCGTTAAATGTATAGGAAAATGCAAAACTGTCTCTTTCCTCTATCGGTATGTCTACATCTCTATGTATCTCTCTCTTTCTCTTTCTCTCCCTCCAAAACTATCTCTAGAGTTAGGCCTTTCTCTCCCAAACTATCTCTAGAGTTAGGCCTTTCTCTCTCTCTCACACTTTCTCTGCTCTCTTTAGTCGGAGAGTATAAATACAGCCACTGCCTTTGCGCTGGCCTCATTCTGTCCGAGGCCTCCGCAGTGTTTACATCTCTGGTGATAGTGATAGTGATTGTCTTTCGACCTAAAAAATATCACCTAACCAAAGCAATACTTATGGATAACCAGGAAGAAGCTCACTTTGGTGCTAATGAGAGTATATAATATCTACACTGTAAGGAATTATGTTTTAACCATCACAATTACATCATGTACACATAGAGATAAAGCCTTTTTATTTTAAATTTCGATATATCAATATTTACAATATTTTTTATATGATATTGATAGCAATCTTATCTGTCCATATATTATATAAACCCTGCTGCAGCCCCCACTAAGTGCAGTCGTGACAATCCCACAAATCGTTTCAACTGTCGCTCAATTACCATAGCTCCCTGTTAGCTGTTGGCCAGCGCACCCCCTTGGGTAATTGTAAACCTTAATTAACATTGAAAACAAACACGACGACGGCCCCGAAAAGCAAACAGAAATCTGTCTAAGGCTGCCAGCAAAGTCGAAAGAAACCCATAAATCAATTTTGAAATGCATTAGAGACAGGTGGTGGTTCTTTGGGGGTAAGGAAATGGCTGGAGGCATAACGTGAGTGAGGAATTGCTGCGACTTCTGAGCTGCTTCTACTGCTGCTGGTCAGTGGTCAAAAGTTGCAACACAGTCGCAGCAATGGGGGGAAAATCTCCTTCTACCTCGGGCACCTTTCAATTAATGCGTATTTCTCCAGTGTCATGGTCCAAGTTGTTTCCTTTGCTTTCATCTGGGGTTGCATTTACTTAACGCCTCTCGCCTCAGCACAACTTCCGTTTCCTGTTTCCAAAGGGTAGAGTTTCGATGCCGAGTCTCTGAGTCTCCGTATTTTGGTGCAAAGAGGCATTTCCAACTAATTGAAAGTGCAATGCGATGCTGCAGAATGCAATTAATGGCCCCAAGGACCTTGGCTGGGTGAAACATTCACCCTACCTGCCTTTTACGGCTTGCAATAAGAAATTGCATTCGAAATGCACAAGAAAAATGCTAGACAAGTTGAAATATTTACAGGGAGAGCTCAGTTTAAGAATAAAAGAGGGTTAACTAAGAGAAGATTAATTAACTCTATGAAATGTAGTCATAAACATATGTTATAGAACCACGTAATACCATGTCACTCGTATTTTAACCATTGTAAATTGAAAAACTTCAGAAAAAAGTCTAAAAAAGGCCTTAAATATCTTCATATCTCTCATCTACGATTTCGAACCACTAAAGACAGATCCCGTCTCTATTTCCTCTATAAATAATGCTTGAATAACTTAAGAAACTTTTATCAATTAGCTGCCAACTAAATACTCAGCCAAAGCGTGTGTGTCCAAGTGGGTGGGCATACAATTAAAAGCAATAAATTTACACAAGGCGACCATAAATCAAAGTCCGATCATAATCTCCGGGGTCCAAGTAAATCGAGAGAGAAAAAGCCAAAAAAGAAACACATTTCCCTTTCTTATTTTCAGAGTTGGAGCCCAAAAATTCAGATTCTACCGCAAATCCGGGGAAATCGTCGCTTCGCTTCGTTTATTAATTGTACAACTGTCTCCAATCATAATTAATGAACTTTCGGCACATCCTCCTTCGAAAAGCTCTACATGTTGTCCTTAGTTCATCGAGGGGATATATGTATATATATATAAATGTTTTCCTTGGCACACCATAAATCATTCGTTTGGCAAATCTCTGTTGGGCTTTTCCGTTCTGCCTCCACTCTTTCCTCCGGGCTTCGGTATTTCGTTGCTCTTTTATTTGTTTTAATGGTCGGCAGTAACAATTAGTCACATTAAAGGATTTACTGGGATATATTTAAGCTTTAAGTAGTTGTAATGGTAAAACTTGTTACTTTTGCTCAGATGTTTGAAAGAGATATGAATTTTATTAACTATTGTGATGTGTTTGAAAAAAAGGGAAATGACGCTTGGTATCTTTTTTGCTACAGTTGTATTTTTAGAGAAAAATAAATATATTACATTATGCCAAAAAGGTTGCACTCAATAGATTTTATATTTTTGAAACAGAACGACGAATATATCACGCTTAGTTCAAATTAAATTTCTGAAAAAAATGCACTTAAAATAATTACTTTGGATAGACTTTCTGCAATTCATTGACTATCTAGTTATCTCTGTCCGGGAAAGTGTAAAATTACATATGCAAATCCCTTATAATTAACAGCACACAGCACATTCTTGGATAGCTACAATGGATATCGCATTTCACCCGGAAAAGTTTGAAAAGTAAATAATTTTCACTCGGCAAATGCCACCTTCCATCAGTAGCTGCTCATTTATCAATGTTGTATATGTGAGGTTTAGTCAGTTAGTCATTCTCAAGCCTAATTTAAATAATTTTAAAATGATGACAAAAGCTTTCTAGCAAATTCAAGTAATTATGCGCACACATGGCAGCCAGAGAGAAGAGTTGGAGAAGGAGTCGACCGGCATTAACACTTTCACAGCCAAATAATGTAAAGATAAATGAAAGCATCATTAGTCATTGGGCCAACCCCATGAAAAGAACTAATCATATGTGCGAGTCCTACAGAAGGGTTGGGATTATCAGCGATTAAATCCCACAGATACCCAAGTATTATTCATATGTAAATTCATTGTGGCAGGATGTGTCAGGTTTCTACACTTTGCAACTTAGTACTTTTAGTCTTTTTGTAGGACATTATTTATTGGTCTTCATTAACATTGATTTGCTGAATGCTTTTGATAATGGTGTAGCCAATTTAAAAATTGAGGGTGGGAAGTGTGCTGAGGATACTTGATTTTGTGAAATCCAGCTTAAATTTACCGTACCTCACAGTCCTTCCTCATTAATCCTTATCCTTTTGCTATCCTTTTCCATTTCTTTTATAGCCCGAAAATGTATAATACACCAAACAAAACCCACTTGCCGTTGGAAGTTCTTGGCCTAATATTTGAAAAGCTGCCTGGCCTAGAAGAGCAATATGGCTTGTATTGCGTATAATTATTCTAGGCAGCGCCTTTCTTTATTTATAATTAATATTTTTTAAATTCAAAACGATTTTGTTTATTCACACAGATGCAAAATGATAGCTTTATTAATTTAAAATTTGATTGTAAATCAACAAGCATCATATTCCCGTCATTGAAGTTGTTATATTTATGTAGTAAGACGTGGAAAAACCTATAGATTTTTTCTGATTAAATATTCGGCGGTATCTTCCTCTTGTTCGAACTCATTAAGTGATTCCACTTCTGTTTTAATGTTTTTTATATCATCGCCACCGGCACATTGTTCCTCAGTGATTTCTGAATCCGAGAGGAGACTAGGATCCTCGTTCTTAGTTATAATCGGTTGATCAATCTTCTTGTCGCACTCTTGCATAGTTTCCAAGTTGTCCAGATTTTCCAATATTTTGCAATTTTTTGGGTTACCGATGTAAAAACAGTTAAAAATTTGTTGCAGCCGCTTCAGACGCTCATCGATAAGCGGTTGCTTCCACTTATACAACTTAGGCATAGTGAAGAGCAACACCAGAGCTAAATAACAATTAAATAATGTATTAAATATAATAGAAATATTTAAAGACCTAATACTTGCCCAATCGGAAGAGAGTGGAGATATAGAAAAAATGTCCCACAAGACTTATTGCAGCCATTATGGCCAACCACTTGATCGTTTCGAACGGCGACTCCATGAGAGCTATTGATCTTAGACTGATACAAAATCCATTGATCTTGGTCGAAATAAATTGAGAAAGCTGCTGAGACTGCTCCGGTGTAATGCTAATATCCACGTCCAAGTACTTCTGGAAGGGATTTCCCCGAATCTGTGTCCTATTCAGGCACTGCAGGCACCGCACGTAGATGCGGTATCCCAACGAAATCCACAAGACTATCTGGCCGGAAACACTCAACACACTGATCGCCGACTTGTGGGTGAAATCGTAGATCAAAGCCTGAAGGATTACGAATGTCAGGAGCGACCTGCGCCAATTGTGCCAAAGGATCAATTGCTTGAACTCCTTGCGAATGCAGACTCTGGCATTATCCTGGTTCACCTCCGACACCCGAGCTGAGGTTGGAAATAAGTTCGAAACTGTGGCCATATTTTCTAAATAAGTTTTTGATTTAATTTTTCGAGATTAGGACAAGGCAATGGAATGTTGAGTTCAGCTCAGTCGGGTTGTTAATGACTGATTTACTTGACTCAGTTTTATGTAGGGTTTTGTTAACAAAATCAAAGGTGACTTGGTTGTAGGTTTCTTGTAATTCAACTTTTAAATGTAATGTTTAGTGTTTAATGGTTGATAAAGTTACTTGTTGTATTTCTTTATTTATTTGTTCAAACAGAAATGTCTTATTCAAAAATCTGTATATGAAAAGTCTTCAAACTCTCAAGTGTCATGAGCATGTGTTGCCAGGTGGTAGCACCACCTGCTTATGACTGTTGAAGGGTGAATAGAACCCACAAAATTTCACTGAAATAAGCATAATAAATGGGACACATTTAGAGTTGGGTTGGTGGTTGAGTTGGTAAAGAGTTACTCTTTGGTTTGCCGCACACACAAAATGCGGTTTCCCTTATGTTATCCCCATTTTTGCATCTCATTTATTTTAAATTATTTACTTATTGTCTTTAAGATTATTATTAGGCATTTCCTGTCTGGATTTTTTTTATTTTTCGTAGATTTCAGCTGGTTTATATGGTTTCAAAAAAGTTTCCTATGCTTATTCTCTTAAAATTTGCCTTACAATATATTTTTTAATGTATTTAACCGTTCAAGAATTTCCAATATCCATTATTTTTTTATTTGGCAGCCTACAAATTCTGGCCTGTTTCCACATTTTACAAGTATTTTTAATACAATCTGAATGATTTTCAATACCACTTTCTCACAGCTTGTTGCCCGTTTGATCCGAACCGTCAATGGGTTCTTTTGTCGTTGATTTTCAGGCAAATAATTTTGGCACAAGGTGTGACCAATGCCTATTGAGAGTTTTGTCAATGGCACTCAGCCTTCTGTCCATACTAACTCAATCGTTTCTCGATTGATTTGTCAAAGGCATTACGCTAATATTTTGAGCAAATACTGACAAAACGGCACTTGCTCATTGGCGTCAAAATGACATCGAGTGGTTTCACTTTTCCACCCTCAAGATACCGCTAAAATAAAATTATAAATGAGGGTGGGAATGGTGGAAATGACTTTGGGATTTGTATTTTTAGAACTTGAAAATAAATGAACTAAATGAAATATTATTAATCTTTCGAATTTACCCTAACTTGTACCAGTTTATCCTATTGAAGAAAAGAGGATATCATATTTTAAACATTACAATAACTTCTTGTAATAATTTGATTTTATATTATAAGTATCTTTTAACCCATTGGTATCCACAAATTCAACCTAAAGCAACTAATTCCTCAAATTTCATTTTAAAAAGTCTTCCACACAGGAAATTAATATGCAAAAAGTGATATCTTTGTATTTGCTTTAATTAAACTAAATTCCCCCAAAATGGGGGAAACGCATGAGGACATCATGCACACAAATGCATTCTCTTACAGGATATTAGAATGTTTGACAAGTTGTCAATGCATCATCAAGAGGCAAAAGGACAAGCAGAAAATTGCACAAGAAAATAACGTAACATTCATTTCGAATGTAAATTAAAACAAATACACATAAAATTACTTAAAATGGCAATGAGTTCATTTTGTTCCTGTCAAATATTCAAAGACATTGCAGGGAATGCAAATATATAGGAAATATTTTCAGTTCTGACCATATCACATGGGATTCGATATAGAAATTGTGGAAAATAATAAAGGTTTTATTACTAAGTTGTATATATTGAATGAGTATTAAATTGGGCTTTAAAACAAATATTCAAAATGAGATTATAAAGAGAATAAGATAGAGTTTTTCCAGTATAAAGTTTCTAATAAACTTTTAAAAACAGTTGAAAATATAGTTTACTTTTAAGATGCTTCAAAAAATGCAGCAAATCTGTGACAAATTCTATAATCTTTTTAAATACTTCCATGTCATACATGCATAAGATGTAAATGTCCACAAACACAGCTGAAAATCTCAGCAAAATATTCTTCTTTCAGGCTGATAAAGTTGTCATATGAGTTTGACCGTCTCACTACTTATTCCCTTTCGACTTCTTTATGGGGCATCGACGACGAATGTCAGGAATTTCTTGTATTAAAATCGAAATTGCCATGGGGCTGGACTGGAATCAACCCCAGAAATGGACAATTGTATCTCTCGGTGAAGGATACATAAGTGGGTAGAGGGGTTTGGAGTTGACTGGATATTCCAGCCGTCGAATCCTGTCTGAATTCGGGCCCTGTCCTTACAGCTGTCAACATGTTTAATTGAAACTGACACTCAGTGTCATTTTATGGACATTGCCATGCGTTACCGTTACCTTAACTTGGCCTGTAATTCGACTTGGTTCAGTCCCCGTCCCCTGGTCTTGATTATTTTGGGGGGGTAAACATTCCAAAGGAGAGTCTCCATCCTGTATTTCCTTCTTGTCCGGTATATTAGTTAAATTTATATCCCTGGAGAAATTGTGTGGGGTTTTCCACATTTGATTTCGGTTTTCTTTTACCTTAATATGCGACTGTCTTTTTTACTGGATTGTGTTTAAGAAAACCTGTGTGGGTTGATATTTCTCCCATTGTTAATCCAAACTCTTAACTTTCCCACCTTCGTCACTGGATAACTTTTGCCCCTGACTAACACTTGAAGGATAATCCCCTCGACAGCCTGAGGAAACTGTAATTATTATTGCTAAGCTCAGTCGCCTTTCCCTCGTCAAAAAAAATATAAAGGAAGTAAGAATCGAGCCCTCATTTAATTGCAGACTAGCAAATACTCAAGAAATTTTTATGCAGGCAATTCTTACTTTTTTTTTTGCTCGCTTTTCGTTTTGGGGGGGAAAATGGAAAAGCGACTCTTGCGACTCTTTTGTTTTCGTCACGGACGAGTGGCGAAAAGCAATCACGACGGCCCAGGAAAAGCAAAAATATCTTTCGCCACATTTCCTTATTTATATATATTTTTTTGTTATTTTTTTCCCCCCTGGTTGTGTTTTGTTTGCGCATTTTTCCTGGACGTCTTTTGTGTTATTGGTGAAATTAGAATTTCTCATTAAAATAAGTGTTGGCCGAGGAAGCCGCTTGACTTGAGACATTCAAGCGTCTCCCAGGGCAAGGTGCTCGTCCATGGCAATGGACTTAAGTCGGAAAATTCCACATCCATTTTCCCCCCATTTTTGTTTATGCATGGTCACTCATTAGTTGAACTTGGCATCTGAGTGACGCCGTCTGACATTTATATATATATATATCTTGTATATATCTTTATTTGTTCGACTTTAGGAGAGTCTGAGGCAAGTCCTACTCTTACTTTTCTTTTACCATTTCAAGACTTAATGGCTTTTCTATCCAATTGTCTGATTTTCTTGTGAGTAATTAAAATGGCAACTCTTTTTCATTTAATATTTTATTTTCCAGAACCTCATCTTATTAATCTTCAAAGCTGGCCAAATAGGCTTAAAAACTGTAACACTTGGCGGTTATTTAAGGGTTACTGATTAAAATGTGTCCTCTGTGAGGGAAAATCAAGTAACGGTCTGTTAAACAGATTTATATCCTTTAATGGATTTATGTTTTTATCAGTTTGCTTTTTGGTTTTTAATGTGAGATGTTTAAGGGTTTAAAATACAAAAGGATTTATGGAAAAACTTAGTATGGAGAGAGAGAAATTCTGAAAATATAAACATTGAACATATTCTTATATAAAATTTAAAAATTCGAAAAAATATCGCAAGTAAATACACAAATCTATATATATTTTTATTGATTCATTCTACATATTTTACAAAGTTATAATATCGATCCATATCCAGTATTGATATGCTGATATTTTTTGTCATCCCAATTTTTAATGTTTAATCTATACAAATTGTAATAATTAGGTCTTACGAATTACATTTTATTTTCCACTTAAAGAACTCAATTTATCCTGAAAAAGAATGTAAAATTGTAGACAAAACGTTTTGAATTTGATAATTTCATTATTACTTTCTTTTTTACAGATTATTGTATAGTTTCCTTTCATGACATCAAATAGGGCTTGACTTTGCTATGGAAAACTATATCTATGGATTCTGGGGAACAAAACTGACACCACCTCCCTGCTTTTGTTTAGTTGGCACAACTTTTCGATTGTCCAACTCAAGGGCCACCCTGACCACACACAACACACAACACACACTGGCAACGGCAACACACACCACATGCAGCATCCGCAGATGTTTGATAGGAGAGGCACAACATTGTTGCTACTTCGGAGTTTGAAGTGCGGGCCAAAGTTTGAGCTTTGAACTTTTGGCTTGTTACATTCAAGTGGCTGCCATGTATAAATGTTTGGTTTTCAGTGCCGCAAAAAGTTTATGCAAAACACAAAAACAGAAAACTTTACATTTACTCTGAATATGTGTTGCCGGTTTCAGTTTACAGGTTTCTGTTTTTCAGTTATTGTGGTTACTGTGTGTGCTGCTGACAAGTTTTCCCCCTTATAGATAAAGTACAATTTCCTTAAGCATTTTTTGTTTTAATTAATTCTGTATTACTCTTTTTTCTCTTGTTTTTTTATATTTGCTACATTTACGTGCCTGGAATTCCTTGCCCTTTAGCTTCTGTTGAATGTCTTTAGCAAAACAAATTTCGACCCCCAGCGGACTGCATTTAATTTTTCCCTTTCCCTTTATTTGGTTTCTGCTTCATTTCTTTGTTTGCTGTGCAGTGTAATTAGCCACCACCTTCGGACCAGGAAAAAGACAGAACAGGACCATCTGCAGATGCTTCTTCTACATATTTTATACCCTTCAACAAAAAGGGTATTATAGTTTTAGTCAGAAGCATGTAACGATGTGAAGGAGTCATTTCCGACCCTATAAACCATATATATTCTTAATCAGATTGAACAGGCGAGTCGATCTGGGCATGGGTAGTAAAAAAATAAATTTTTTAAATTTTTCCAAAATTTTCGTAAAATTTCCAAAAATTGTCATAAAATTTTAACTTTTTTAAATTTTTAATTGAGTATGCAGATTTATTAGCCTTATAAAAACTAAGACAGGAAAGTTTTCCGATTTGAAATTAATGCTTTTTTGGCTTAGTTATGAGTACTTTAATCTTTGATTTTACTCAAAAAATTGTCTTATAAAATATTGATAAATATTTTAAATTAAATTAAATTAAATTGATAAAAAGAGTTCGAATATTTATAGCTTAGTTAAAATCGATTTCCGATACTATCCTATACTTAAAAACAAACTGCAAGGGTATATAAACTTTGGCTCCCCGAAGTTAGTTTCCTTTTTTGGTATGTATTTTTTTGTTGCATTTTTTCTTTGGCATAAAAAGTTTAAGTTGACATTTTCCAGCAACAGTTTGTAATTTTCTTACCCCTTTTTTTCAGCCAGCATATTACGCAGTTTTTTTCGTTACTCCATTTCCTTACTAATTTCTTGCTTTGTGCATTTTACTTGCAGACTGTCTAATTACATTAGCAAAACGTTGGCCAAATCCTACAGTTTTGCATTTGCAGTTGACATTCTTTTGGGTGAGGTAAGTGGCATTTAAGAGATATTTCTTTAACTTCTTTAAGTTTTTTTTTGTGGGCTTAAAATACCTATAATATAATATCAAGAAATTCCTAGTATCTACTTAGATTAAGTTGAAAATCTCAGACACTTGAGACAATTTAAATCGATTGCCTTTTTTATGGTAACTTTATTACAGCCACACATGTTCGTTGTAACTCGAAACCGAATATTGTAACACGTGATTCAATTTCGTTGATCAATTTTAATTGATTGCTTCAATTGGTTTTTCTCTGTCAAAAAAAAGGGCTTTTCCTCCTTTCACCATACAGATTTTTATGTACAAAAGCCACTTTATATGCAGTTTGTTATTCCTGTATTGCCTTTTTTCACTGTACTCCTTTTTATTTGCGCCGATTTTTATGCGTTTTTAATGTGTGCGAAGCAGCTACTCCTTTTCCTCGCCTGTATTTCGATTCGTAAATGTATTTTCCAAAGGGATTTTTATGTGTTTTTAGTTTATGGCAAAAAGGGCTCCGTCTTTGCCCTTATACGGATCGTTAAGTTTTCCGATTTAATGCGAGTCTTTTCGGGGGGTATGAGAAGGACCTTAAAGTATGACACACTAATTAGCATATGCAGCTTATCGGGAAATGCTCTCAAACCTCGAGATTGGCCAAAGCCCAAAAGGGGCACCATCCATTAGCCATTAGACCGAGGGACAATATTGACATAATCGACTTTCAGCTGTGACGCCGCCCCGGCGACACAATTTAACCACAAATGAGGCTTGGCCGTAGGGCAATGTCACCATTGCCGATTACTTCAAAGTCACCCACTCTCCTCGAAGAGAAATCTTCAAACCCCAGGAGCCACAGCTCAACTCAAACAACCACAATTTGGAGGCGGTGGTTTGCATTTGTTTCCAAAATCTCCCATAGGGAAGGGAGCCTGGTTTACTTAAGTTGAAACAATGAGAAATGTGAATTGACCGGAGAATGCGGTGAGGTAAACCACATTTGGTCATCATGTGGAGCCAGGAGTTTGGGAGTTAAACACGATGATAGGCTTTAAAATTTCACTTATTTAGAGAAATAATAAACTATAAAATTAAGGATTACTTCAGTGTCTTTACAAACTTCGAGGCACTGTGAAGAAAAACATTAGCTTTTGTAAACTCAGGGATTTTTAAGTGGAAATGCTTAGCTTATTGAGAAAAATAAGACCTTCTCATTCATATTTTTAACGAACAATATTTTAAAATAAATAAATTTAAGCGTTTTAGGCTTTTATACCCAAAGGTTCAAGATCCTTAAACCCTTATAGTTTATTGCCAATAAACCATATCTGAAATATAACCCAGAAATTTAAGTGCAACTCCCCTCGCAAACCCAGTTTCTAATCCTTTTCTTGCCTTAAAAAATTAGTAACCCGAAACACACTCACACTCTTCACTTCAATTATAATTAAGAATCCTGGCCTCAGGCCACTAAAAATATTAAACATTGACGAGAGGAACGCCGTAAATTATGCTACGCCATAAACTTATGCGTGATGTACAGATGCTGGACATTAAAAATGTTTGTAAATGAAAACTGCGATGGCCTCTGTCTGTCAGCGTCAATAAAACATTTCTGCATAATGTCTAAGGGTTTCTGGACCTGGATTTTATATCGTTTTAATGAGCAACAAAGGACACCGTGAAGATCTGTGCATTTAGATAGATAAAAATATGACAGCTGATACTAACCAAAAAGGGAAAGACCACGCACCGAGAATACTCATCATAATTAAAGACAAGGGGTTTGTTTCGCGCAATAAAAGCCTCGAAGGATTCATATGGATAATTAAGTTATGGCGGGTGCCAAAAAAGATGAAGGGTTACAAATCCAATAAAACAATCGTAAAAACCCTGGACGAGCACTCAAAATATTTCTAAGGCGCATATTTTAATTTTGAGATGGATTTGAAAGCGGTTTTCTTTTTTTTTTCTTAGAGTGCCTAGGGTTGGTCATAAAAAAGCAGATGCAGTTGAATTTGCTTATTAAGTATACTTTTTAATTTACTAAATTAACAGTTTTTTAACTGATCCATATATATATATATTTCTTTAAATATTTTCAATACGTTTTAACTACGACTTGACTTAAATCCTATACCATGTAGATTGTACAGATTTTAACCTTTCGAACTGCATACTTTCCTGGTATAAAACCTACACCCATCTCAAATTTAGCCACCGAGTTCAATAATCTTGGAACCCCTTTTATCCCTGCCTGCTCTTCGATATGCCAGAATCATATCAGTTGGCAGATAGAACCAACTTTTATTGGCTTGTTAACAAAAGCGTGAAATTCAATGCCCGGCACGAGATGGAGAGTATAAAAAAAATATATATATATAAATGAAAGAACAATTTACGACACTGCGAATTAAACTTGATTTTTATTTAAATAAATTGCATTTTATATGCTTTTCACCCCCCTCCATTCTCGTCCTTGGTTGCCACGATAATAAGCAGGCAACGCTCGTAATTTGCACCGGAATTCAATGGGTGGATAATGGTGATATGAGAGAGTGTGTGTATATTTTCACCAGGATATAAGGGGCAGACTGAGAGACGACTGCTTTATGCATTTTTATTTATTACAGGAGCAGGAAATGTTTGTTGATTTTCCGCTGCTCGGTTTGGTTCGGCACAATAAAAATCATCGCCAGCCAGAATTTATTTTCTAGACGAACGCGCCGAGCTCCGTTTGAATCACATAAAAATGAGCAGGCAGAAAATATACCCAAATTGTACAGAGGCTTTCCTTCCTTATTTTTTGTGTTATTTATATCATTAAAAACGGAAAAAGTACGTCGCAAAAGAATGCAACAAATTTGAATAGCAGCAAGTGAAACGAATTGATGAGGTCCCAGGGCTTTACGTGAGTGTATTGAAAGTTTGAATAATACTTCTGGAATAAAGTAAGGAAAAATATTCCATAATAGAAGAAACGCTTGTGAAAAGTACATACTTTCTGTAGTAATTAATTATCAATTTTAAGGGAATTTATTACAGTGGTTTGAAATGATCAAAGTTGCGCGCAAGTAAGAAATTTGAGTCATTTAAAAATTAGAGATTGTACATAGATTGTACATATCATCTTTAGTAAAAATAACCCGAAAATTTTACCTCAGAATCCAATTTTATTTCTGACTATCCTTTTTCAATGTTTATAAGATTATTTATTGTTTTTTCTGCAATTATTAAATTTCCACCATGGGTAACATCCAATTCGTAATGCTCATCTTACAAAGAATCGCCTAAATTGATTTTCTTGATTTTACAAAGATAAGGCTCAATGGTGTGCAGGGTAACTACAAAGTTTAGTTCCAACTTAACCTGTTTCTCGCCCAGAGGTTCAAAGTAATAATTCCGCAGGAGATGAGCCAGAAGCATTTTGATCATTACCATCGCATAGCGTTGACCAATACAGCTTCGGGCACCCTTCATAAAGGGTATAAATGTGGAGGCATCGATCTTTGGCTCTGCTCCACTGGCCCAGCGATCTGGATTGAAGAGTTTTGGATTGGGGAAGAATTCTTTGCATCGTCCTATGTAGAATAGTGCGAGGATAATAACGCTATCCTTGGGTATGAAAAATTCATCTGAAATAGTTTGAAAACACAGAAATAAAATTAGAGAGATATAAGTATAAACCTTAAGACTAATAATTCGCATTTGTGACTATTTCGACTGACTAATTCTCTTAAGTTCAAGTTCAAGTCAATTCGATTTAGGGAGGTTCAATGTAATATAAATAAATACTTACCTATCTGAAAGTCGGCAGTGGCTTTCCTGGACACGATTGGAGCCGTGGGATACATCCGCAAGGACTCCTTCACACATGCCTCGACGAACTCCAGTTTTCCCAATTGATCTATGGAGATGGGTTCGGTTGTGTCCCGACCACACACCGACCATACTTCTTCCCTACATCTTGTCTGATGCTCCGGATGGAGTGTCAAACTGTACATGCAGAACTTAAGGGCGGTGACTGTGAGATCGTAGCCAGCATATATAATGGTATCCACCTCCTCGCGAATATCCTTGAGAGTCAATTTCTGTCCATCGGGATCCTTTGCCTGGAGGAGAGTATCCAGACAGCAAAGGGATGCCTTTCCTACGTCCAAATCTGCATTCTTCGTGCCATTGGAATTCCGATTCTCTGCATCCTGTTCAATCTTATCCCTTCTCTTTTGGATAATGCCCTCCGAAAAGCCATGGAGGATTTTTAGTAACTCCTGCTGGCGCCTAAAGTGTCTCGTCTGCCGGAAAATGAATTTAATGTGGTAGAAGGGATTCTTCAGACGTAAATGAATGATGTCCACCAATCTATGATGGAAAAGAAGATATCAAATGAATTGGAAATATATGTATACAAAGATGTTAACTAACTCCCTGGAAGCAGTTAGGTAGTTCGATATCTCATCCGATTGCGCACCCATTGAAACCCCTAAGGCAGTCTCACACAAGGTGTCCAAGCTGAAGCGACTGGTAATTTTGAGGAAATCCAACGGCTCTCCGGTCTTGGAGTATTCCTCAAGGCTGTCTACAAGACTCCTCGACTGCTTCTCGAAGACAGCCACAAACTGCTTAATCATGGCATAGTTGAAACCGGACACGACGATCTTCCTGCGATGCATCCACTTTTCGTCATTACTGAGTAAGACTCCATCGTTGAGCCAATCCGTCAAGACATGGTAGTCCTCAGGCTTGTGCATCAGCTGATGGGCACTGCTTAAGGCTTGAATATCCTTGGGGTTACCGTTCAGAAGATAGAGTTTCGGGCCAATCCAAATTTTCCCACGATGATCGGTCAGGTGGCTGCTGACCATCTTGTAGATGCGAGAAAACGGAATCGGCCTCACCAAGTTGGCCAGGATGTGAAGGTGGCCAATAAGGGGAAACGACGGCGGACTCGGCCAGTTGTGGGTGAGCCGGTTCAACCTGGCCTGTTTTTCCAAGACATAAAATAGGATCAAGGAAATACCGATCACTAGGAGACTAACGGCGATCCAGTACATTGCGTCGATTGCAATTGCCAACAACTGTTTGCCGGCGATGTAGCGCCAAGCGTTTTAAGTCTCGTATAGTCAGAGATCAGAAGCTATGAATACAAATGTGGGTCACTGCCCCGTTGGCCATAAAAGTGTGATATATAACACCTAATTTGTCTAGGAATAATATTCATATTAGTGGAACTTGGAACTGGAAAATTAGAATACGTTCTGCAGCAATAATAAAAATTTTTAGTGTGGCATATTAATATTTAAGTATTAAGACTATAATAGTATATTCAATGACTAGACTTTGTTAACCTTGCAATCTAGTTTATAGCTTTAAAAGAATTGACTAAGCTGAGGAAAGCTGTACATTGGATTTAATATTTCCCCTTTATTGATCCTATTCCAGCCTTTAAGTTACAGGTAGCTCATGAAATAAGCTACTTTTCAGAGCTACATTGACACGCCTTGTGATGCTTATTGCGAATTTTGGTAGTTCAATATTTTCTATACTTTTATTTTAATTTCAGATTATATATATATTTAACTACTAAAATTATTAACAATAGATAATGTCGCACTCATTTAGCGTCAATTTTCTTGACTTTACATAAAAACGGCTTTATGGTGTGCAGTGTGATCAAAAAGTGAAGCTTCAACCTCTCTTGCTTGTCGTCCAAAGGCTCAAAGTAATAGTTTCGCAAAAGATGAGACAGGACCAACTTGATCATTACCATCGCATAGCGTTGACCAATACAGCTTCGGGCGCCCTTCATAAAGGGTATAAATGTGGAGGCATCGATCTTTGGCTCCGCTCCACTGGCCCAGCGATCTGGATTAAATACCAATGGATTCGGAAAGAAGTCCTTGCAACGTCCCATGTAGAACGGTGAGAAGATCACGTCGCTGCCTTTGGGTATAAAGAATTCATCTGAAAAATGTTTACAAGAAGCGATGTTTATAATTCAAGATCCAATTTAGATAAGCTCAAGAATACTTACTTATCTGACAGTCTTCCATGGCCTTTCTGGCAGTAACTGGACCCGAGGGATAGAGCCTCATCGTTTCCTTTATACATGCCTCGAGGAAGTCCAGTTTTCCCAACTGATCTATGGAGATGGGTTCGGTTGTGTCCTGACCGCACACCGACCATACTTCTTCCCTACATCTTGTCTGATGCTCCGGATGGAGTGTCAAGTTGTACATGCAGAACTTAAGGGTAGTGGCTGTGAGATCATAGCCACCGAATATAAGGGTATCCACCTCCTCGCGAATATCCTTGACTGTCAATGGTTTGCCATAGGGATCCTTTGCCTGAAGTAGAGTATCCAGACAGCAAAGAGTTGGTTTTCCTTCGTCCAACTCTGCATTCTTCGTGCTGTTGGTATTCCGATTCTCTGCATCTTGTTTAATCGCATCTAATCTCTTTTGGATAATTCCCTCCGAAAAGCCATGAAGGGTTCTAAGTAACTCCTTTTGGCGCATGAAATGATTCGTCCGACGGAAAATAAACTGAATGCGATAGAGTGGATTCTTAAGCCGCTTATCTATGATCACTAGGATTCTATAGTTGTATTTAGAGAAAATCAATTTAAAATTAAAAACAAAAAAACAAATTAAACTCACTCTTGAACCGCAGTGAGGTAGTCCGATTTCTCAAGGGATTGCGCACCCACTGAAACCCCTAAGGCGGTCTCACAAATGGCGTCCAAGGTGAAGCGACTGATTAATTTGAGGAAATCCACCTTCTCTCCGGTCTTGGAGTATTTCTCAAGCCTGTCTATAAGAATCCTTGACTGCTTCTCGAAGACAACCACAAACTGCTTGATCATGGCATAGTTGAAGGCAGGCATGATGATTTTCCTGCGATGCATCCACTTTTCTGCATTACTGGTGAAGAGTCCCTCGTGGAGATAATCCTCAAAAACGGCGTAATCATTGGTCTTCTGCAAAAGCTGCTTGGCATTGCTCAAAGCTTGAATATCCTTGGGATTACAGTCCAGGATATAGAGTTTTGGGCCTATCCAAATCTTTCCCCGATGATCCTTCAAATGGTTTGTGACCAGGTCGGTGGCGTTACGGAACTGATTTGGTCCCACCATCTTGGCCAGGATGTGAAGATGGCCAATAACGGGATATGAAGGTGGACTTGGCCAATTGTGGGTGAGCTTATTGAGTTTGGACTGCTTCTCGAAGATACGCAGCAGGTATAGGATACCGGCCAGGAGACCGAGGTAGAACCAGAACATTGCGTCGAGTACTTTAAATATCAACTGCCTTTCGTTGATGTCGCATCAAGCGTTTTAAGCTGAACAGAGTCTAAAATCAGATTATGACTACAGGTCTGGGTCATCGGCACTGTCAACGGGGTTCAAAAAAGTTAAACATATATCACACTTGAAGAAATATTATTGCTTTGCGGGATAATGAAGTATATGAATGTATATTTTGGCCCATTTTCTGCTACTCAAATGTATTTGTAATGCAATGTTTATAAGGTTTATAAAATTCACCTTGAATTATTTATTTAAAGCGAAGGAAGTATAGTCTTTAAACACTTGTTTTTTAATTAGTTTTACAGAGGTAATCAATCCTGAGAGTTGTGGAACATGTTATTTTAACATGGGATCACAGGCATAAATCTATTTAATTTGATTCACTATTATTTTACATCACAATATATATTTATTATTTTCCGATATATATTTATATAATTCAATTGTTCTTTATTTTTCCAAGTGCAATAACTAAACGATCTCTCACTGCGTTTTGCATTATTGTGCAATGCACACATATTAAGAGCAACAGTCGCGACGACAGCGTTTTTAAGACTGTGAATACTTATTTATAAGAAATCCGTATATCCAAATATATATATTATATAAGCATATTCAAATCGATGGGGTTTTTGAATTTGAAGTGACTCTTTTTGCCCGCCTACAGGCGGTATAAGTTAAGTACTTAAGATCAGGCAGCGAAGATGTAAACAAAACATTAAGAATGGGTTTTTTTTCTTTATATAAAACGAATGTGGAATACTCTTGTCTGACTGAAATTCGTCTTAGGAATAATTAGAATACCTATAAATAGTATTTCCAAAGTTTATACTCTCCATTAATGACAAATCTGCAAATATTATCTTTAAGTTTTGTTTTCAACCCCAAGGATTAGAATTTCACACAGAAAAACAAACCAAAGATACACTTGATTTTCATTAATGCCTTAAGCCTGCCTGCCACTTTTTCTTAATTTTATTTGTCAAATTATAATTCCAATTGTGTTTCGCTCGATTGCATACCAATTTCATAAAGCTCGTAAAAATGAACGGATGGATAAGTTGAGACGACACCACCCAGATCGTTTAGTGTATACGTGTGGGGAAATTGTGATATAAGTTCATTTCTAGGATCATAGATTAACCATTTACCTTGGAAAGTAATTCTAAAAATAACTTGTAAGGTTAGAAATAACAAAATTAAGGAAGAAATCTTTTTTATTCGCTTGAAAAATGTTTTATTAATGAGAAATGTAATGCTTATAAAGTAATGCAGCTTGAATACAACGAGTATTCCGTATTAACAAAAAAATGTAAATAAAATAAATGTATCTTGAGATATTTAATTGTTCATAAATATTTAAAAACTCGTCTCAACTAAGCTCTCATTATTTAAAATTTTTATAGCAAATCTATATTTAGAACTGAACTCTTAAAGTTTCCTTAAATATGAATACAAAACCCTAATGATTATTAAGTAATTCTAGTCAAAAAAATATAAATATTCAAGTAGTTAAAAACAAATAAACTACGCAAATATATTGCTTCGATGGACTTCCCACAACAATAATCAAACAGTTCATCACATTTATAAATAATATAATTTCAGCATTTACGAATAGAACAAACATTCTTTATGGGAACTCTATTTCGATTGTCATTTAATACACTCTTCTGAAGTCTGTGCTGTTGTTGGCTTTCCTCTCGACCAACTGTCATTCAATTCATTCGGTTTTTTATTTCAAATAGTGCAAACAGACCAGCACAAAAAAAAAAATTCCCCGCCTCGTGTTTACACTAATTAACACGAAATAAAAGTTAACAGCCGAAACAAAATAAAAAAAAAATGGGGAAAACAATAAGAGAGCAAGCATAATTGTAATTGCAACGGATGGGACTGGGTTGAAAATAATATTTGCTGGTCAACATTTCAAACAAAATAATTAATCCTTTACTTTTTGAACTCGTAATACGTATGCATTTCCGTCACTGCAAAATTTGTATTAAAGCAAATGGACAAGTGACATAAATATGAGTTTAATTAAACTTGTTTTAGTCAGTTCAGGTTTCACATATAATGCAGAAAATGGCAGTGAGTTTAATGGCACTTCAATTGAAGTGCTGGGAAATACGTTAATTAAGTGCAGATCTGTGTGATTTATACTAATTAGAGGATATTGACGTTAACTTGGCCATATAATCAGCATACATTATGGTCTAAAGTGGCAGGGAAAATGGATTAAAAATAGATTAAATAAAGCAAAAGTATATTTCTGTTTTCAATCAATATTATCTTAACTATTCTGTTACTATACCTATACAATGCAAATTCAATACCTTGGCCTAATCGCGAATACCATTCAATGCCACTAATCACAACTAACTGGACAAAGTAATGACAATGGCCCTTTGAAGTTGCAGGCGAAGCCGAACAATTGCTTTCGCGTAAATTCCTTTATCTAATGGATGCCAATAAACAGCCGATGTACACTCACTCTCGCACACACACACACATCCTGGCCAGTCTTATGCGGTTTATACATACATATAATACGGTTATGCACCTGACAGGACCAAGAACATTGTCTCAAATGCTAAAATTAAAAGTGATGAGCGGTTAAGGATGGAGTGTGTAGGATATGTTTCGGTGAAAGGTTAGTTTCTTGAGGTGGGAAATAAGGTAGTTTCAACTAATTTGAATTTATGCAGGAAAGTGTACACTATTTCCTAAAATACTTTAAATTATACTACAAATATATTGGTATTTATCTTTTATTAGAAATTTAAGATGGAGTTATTATGCCTTCATAAATATTTAAAATATTAAAACAAGATTCAGTCTTAAGCTTAGAGGACTCTTTTGTTATCATTCCTTTGGGCTAGAGTATTTATCCTTCGGATCCTGGATACTACAATTGTCCCCCCTCATTATTGTTGTTTGTGGGCATTGGTGTTCTGTAATTAAACTGCATATTATCAGCCACAAGAGACGCACACACAACTGCACACTCAACCACTCTGAGCCCACACTCCCATATCACTCCCCATCCCCTGCCCCTAGATGTACCACATAATTATGCAGACATTTCCAAGTCCTGGACGAGGTCAAGGAAGGGGCAAGCCTGACCGCCCAGCTGTCACTTTGTGTTCGGCTTTTGTGTAAAATTTAATTTGGCTACATTTAATTATTGTTTATGTGGTATGGCTTGTCCCTCTGTCGCTGCCATCGAATGTTGTCATCTTATAAACAATGATAATTTGCCAAATGCAAGCCGATTGGCTAATAGATATCTCTGGTAGTATCTCTTCTCACACATCTCATGGCTAAGGCGAGAAATGGCCAAAGGGCAAGCCAAAGCGATATCAAAGGCTTCAAATACACCTAAGAAAAAGAAGATTAAATATAAGTAAATAAAGTATATTTAATAAGTTTTAATAAACAAAAAATTCAGTATATTAATCTTTTACGAATGCTACAAATTTACATTCACATTTCATGATTTCCAATTTAAACACCACGTTTTGAAAGTAAAATAGTTACTATAATGCTTATTAATGGTTTTTTTGCATTAACCTATTATATTTAAATTGCCACAATGAATAACGTTTACTATCTTTTTTTTCGCATTGTGTTCAGTTTTATATTTTGCAAATTATTGGCAGTGCATTTTACCCGCTCACTAATCGCATGTGTTGTGTCAACATTAATCGCATCAAATTTAATTTCACAATTAAATGCAAAGACGCGACGCGTTTAGCATAAATTAAGCAGCCTGTAAATGGAAGCCGCGGGCGGTTGTCCTGCTCCTGCTCCTGCGGTCTGGCTTTATTTTCCTTAGGTGTTGAAGGTGGCTTTAAACCCAAAGCCACCCTAAAGGCTGAAAAAAAAATGAGCTGTAAACTCCACCAAAGCCTTGTCGGCTGCTTCCGTTTCCGTTTCCCCTAAAAGGGTGTGAGTGTACATTTCGAATTTCGCGCATATTTATTGCTTCAACTTAATTTAATTGACAACCCAATCTAAGGATTCATTAAGCTTGGGGACTTAAATGTCTTTAATTAGTCAGAGCAAAATCAATTACATTGCATTTGCTACCTTAAACTCATTTAAGAAATGAAAGGTTTAAACATGACTTGTAAAGCCCATTGATAAGTTTAGAAAGTTATTCATCAATTGAGGCTTTTATGTCTAAATAGTTGATAATTGCTTAAAAATAAAGTTTATTGTTACCAACAAACGATTCTTAATAGAAAGAACGTATAAAATATGGCCAGTCATTGATTATTGTATGTCTTAAATAAATGTCAAGTCAGATATACACTTCACACAATAAACTAGATCAATAAAGATATTTCTATTTATAATTTCTTTGTGGTGAGCTTGTTTATTAACCAGTTTTAACAATCTTCTAATTTATCTTTATACTTGTTCCCAATCATCTTAGTTTTCTTTCTTGATATTAACTCTACCTTTGCGTAAATTGCAACTACAGCGAAGGTCATCAACTTTGAAACATAATTAAGAACATTAGCTTTAACAACTTAAAATTTTCTGCATTTTCCAGTTTCGCTTACAATTTTGAGTGATATCTCAATGCAGCAAGTGAAACCAGTTTCGCTGCCAAAAATAAGCAATCAAGTTTTGAGCTCCTCTTAATACAAATTTGAATCTCAAAAAATTGATCGGGATCAAAAATGATGTGGCAACATGACGCCTTTGGTTACTGCAAAACCTTAATCTTAATCAGTCTCAACTGATGGCCCCTAAGCATTTGGCGGCATAAATAAAGTAAAAATAATAATTTTAAATTACTTTTTTAAGCCTCATGCTTGGCTGCCCCGGCCGTCTTTTTCTCTTATTTTATTTTTAAATTTTTTCACATGGCGTTTTTGTTGGGCTTTTCGCTGCTTAACCTTCGAGGCGCAAAATGTTTTTTTTTTTATAAACTACAAGTACTCGTCTTTTAAGATACTCTTCTTGGTACTTAATTGTATAGTTATGTATTAGGTAATATATACAAAATGCTCATATATTATTTTAGTTTAAATTTAAATTCTTATTTTATTCTATTTAAATTCTTATTTTATTTTTAATATATATTTCAATGGCCCTAAAATCTTGATTAGTCGAACTAAACATTTTGTTATAATTATTACCATACAATATCCTTATATTGAATGAATAATGTCTTTGATTTTTGATTAAAACCACCAAATTCTTTATTCATTTTTTTTTTATTAAAACTGAATTTTTGTAAGGGTATTTTAGGCATCACCTATTGTTGCTTAATTATTTCTTGGTGTTGTTTTTTTTTTTTTGGACAGGGCGTTGTTGCAAGTGAAGGACAGCTACGGCCACTGCAATTTGAAGGCAAGCAAAACAAATGAATTCTGGGAGATGAAGTCAGAGCGGGTTGAGAGTTTCTTTTTTTGCTTGCAGCTGTTCTGAATGTAGTTTTTATTTCATGAAAATGCACCTGAAATAAATAAGAGTACTTCAATTATGTATGCTAAAAATATTCATAAAAGGAGCTTTAATTATAATTACCTAAAGAATATGACAAATACTCTCAATATGATGTTTAAATGGTAATGATTTGTTTTATAGCAAAACGTTGATTAAATTCAGCAAGATTCCTAGACATACTTAAATAAATAAACTGTGCTTTATAAGAAAGGATGTTTGTAATATTTAAAATATAGAAATAATTAAAGGTAGTTTATTTGTAATATTTTTTGTTATATTCAAAAACAAGCTCATAAATGATAATAATATTTTGGCTTTAAATCTTTATATTAATTAATATAACTCCATTTATGCTTTGATTTAAATATATTTGGACACAAATATAATCTTCAAACATGCTTGGTATTACAGTCGAGTCCCGATAATTCGAAATGGCAAGGGGATCACTTTTTTTACGAATTAGACGGGAATTCGATTTATCGAGATTTCTATTTAAAGGGGCTCAAAAATGAAAGAGTCGAATAAACGGGGTTTTTACATTTCACATCATGTTTACATAATAAATATGTACATTCGTTTGTACGTTTTTCAAATTAAAGGAAAATTAAACAAAAATTAACAAACAAAATTAAGCAGAAAGATTAAATTATTAAAAATGAAAATTCAAGATTTAAAATAATTGGTAATTTTTATTGCTTCGTGTTTTTTTCTTATATTTTTTCCATTGCGTTTTCTAAACCTATTAGGTTGTCAAACACACTATTTGGCACATCATGAGTCCAAAAATAATGTTTAAGTTGAGGAATTAATGCTCTGGTTTGTAAATTCTATAAAATTTCTTCTCCGTTCTGATGCCTGCAAAATCTAACGTCGCTTTAACTACAAAATATTTCGCATCGCATTACGATTTATAAGAGGTTTCGAAACAAAATTACGATTTATACGAGGTTCAATATTCTTTGCGTTGCGCCAAATACTACGAATTAACGAGGGGACCAAAATGTATGGAATTTTTACGAATTAACGAGTTTTTTCAAGGGGACAGAATTTTTTACGAATTATCGCGATTTTCGATTTAGTGGGGTACGAATTATCGGGATTCGACTGTATTTATATTCCTATTTGTTACTATTTTCAAAAATATTTGCTTAATATTTGTGATCAGTGACTGTCTTTTTCTTGCCGCCATTAGAATTGTCTTGGCTTGGTCAGCCTCAAGATACAAGTTAACAGTGGCAATTGCCTCGACTTCTCGTTTGTTGCACTTCACTTGACTGCAATTTGGCCAAGTAAAGTTCGAGAAACAGTTGTCGCTGTTCTTGTTGTTACCTTTAATTTGAGTACGTTTCTGTGTTGTTTTTATCTCGATTCGATTTCTTATTTTTATTTTTAGCTGTTTTGGGTGATTGTTGGCCACGGCTAAGTCACGTTCCGATTGCGCATTTAACGCGTTCGACCGTCCGGTTAAGTAAGTTAAGTTTCTTGGCCAAAAAGTCTCTTGATTTGTTGGCTCCTTGTTTTTTTTTTTTTTTCCTTTTTCGTTTTTGGACATTGCAACATTTGGCTGCCTGTCAGCTGGCAGGGTCAGTCGGGTTTTTTTCTACCATGAGGCTCGTCAGCACAATCATAAATCTGTCGACGGGCACCCGATGACCTTTCTACCTGCCTCGATAAGCGGTCAATTTGCAGCTGTCCTGGGGATCCATAAATCTGAAAATTAGGAAAATCACTTAAATATTTACAGTGCCTTCAAGTTGGCCTACGTGACGAGGCACGTGACCGAATAATCTGAACCAAAAGCGATGATTTGGGTTCAGTTTTTGGTCATTGTTAGGTTAGGGTTCAAACGGAAATACTAGTTTTCTAGCAAAATAATTAAGTGTTTCGAAATGCACTTAGAACTCTTGAGGGTTCTGTAGAAAATTAAATATTGGAAGCCTTAGATGAATATTTGACAGTATCCTTAAACATATGTGAACAGTATGTGATATGAAACAGGTGGTGCTATTTATACTTTTCGAGGGAATTTTGGTAGGTCTTTGCACATTTTTGTTACATTTAACAGGTTTATTTTGGATTATAATTATATTTCATATCATTTTAATAGAACTTCCGAAAAACCTTTTAATCGTTACAGTTTTCAGGTGAATAATACTATTGAAAAACTAAACCCAATGGTTTGACTGAGGATAAATCTTTAACGAATGTTTTAAAATAGGTCGATTTCTTTAAAGTCTATTAAGAAGGTTATCAAAATCATTTCTTTGGATAAAAAATAGTCCACGTTCGACTATAAATATTTTATTTATAAATTTATAGTTTGATTAGACAGAGATCGGTTTTTTAATCAAGTTTAATGGGTTATCTGATTAATTTGAGTAGTTTTCTGTAAATTTTTCTACGTTACCAATTCTTAATGGGTTTGTGATCTGTATTATGATAAAGGTATCAAAGTAAATATATTTTTAATTTGTGGAATAATTTGTATAAATACATTCAATTAAAATGATAATATGAATATATATTTAAAGCTAGGTAATTCTGTATCGTATCATTCGAAATATCTGAATAATCTCTCTCTTTTAGGATCGTATCTTCTAGATAAAGGTTTATACCCTTTGGGAATCTCTTCAATAACCCCTCTATAATTCCTATAGTCCCTGATACTATTACATATTAAGTAACTTCAATCTTGTTGCCACATTACACAAAACTACAAAAGTGGAACCCAATTCCCTATCGTGGGTCATTAGCCTGTTCGGGTAATCGAACTTGTTGAGTAAGTCGTCCAGCTTAAGTCGGTATATGAATGTACATATATATCATATATATATAGTATGTACAACTTGTATTTATGCCTACACACGATCGATGGTGGTGTGTAAGTGACTTTGCTTTAATCAAACTTAGTTTTTTTTTAATGCGGCTGATGGACAGCTGTGGTTGCGACTACTGGCCGCAGACAATTAGCACCGGCCAACACGACACAGTGCTGGCAAAAAGTACATACTCACTGTATACACTCTCTGTGTCTCTGAGCGTAAACCTGATCGAGAAAGAGAGTTGTATTCCTATCTTTCGCTCTGGGCTTATGTATCTCTCTCTCTCTCCGATCAGCTGATCGCTTTGGACCTAGCTTTAGTGGTGTGTCTTGGAAGCACTTTAGTTCACTGGCATTGCAGGTTTCGGCCGTATCGCACGTACAAACCACAGCCGTCGCAAGCTCACCTCATCGCGTGTGTGTTACCTGTATTTGTACCTGTACCTGTTTTTATTTTGGATTTACAGTTACTAACGAGTTATGTGCGCTTGAATGCCAAATTTAATTGCCGCTCTTTGCATGCTCGCCAGCAGTAATTTGAAAACGTTTTCGAAGAGTTAGTAGTATATGAAAAAACCAAACGCGTCGACTTTCGTTTTTCCCCTCTCCCCAACAACTTTCATTTTTCCTGTGCTCGGTTCGTCGCGTTGCCATTGAAAACAGTGTCAAAACCAAGGTGCTAAAAGAAGTTAATACCTCACATATATAATCGGATCAAAAAAAAAAAAGAAGAAAAAAGTAAAATTCAAAAGAGAAAAAATAGTATAAAAAACAAAAAATTGTGCAACAATCGCGCGTGTGTGAATTGTTAGTGTTTTGTTTTTGTTTCAACGAATCTTCATGACCATCATGAACACCGCCTGGCGCTGTCGCCTCATGATCTTCGGCATCGTCTCCCTGCTGCTGGTGGGCGACCTCTTTGGCTACGGCGGCGGGATCAAGTCCAACCACCCTGATCACCACGCCGTCCGCTCCGGGGGCGGTGCGGTGGCGGCTGGAACTCCAACGGGTCCGGCGGCTGCAGCGGCCAGCAAGTTCCAGACGAAGAATGCTGAAATCGAGATAGCCGAAGGTGAGTTTCGCAAAAAACATTTTATTTTCTTTTTCATATATGTATATTTTTCATTGACAAAAAATTAACTTGGTTAACTCGACTGGCCAATTTTTTTATGAGGTTTTTTATTTAGTTCGTGTTTTGGCAATTATCCAAATCATACAAATTATGAAACGCGTTACGTTTTTTATTATTTCGGAATTTTAAAAAGTTGTTTCGTAAGGCTTAACGTTTATTATAGCCTTATATCAAATTAAAATACGGTTTGAACCACTTTCAATTTAGGGAAAATCGGTGTTTCGATATTATTATTGTTCTTAACCTGAATATTAAGTCGTCTTAACTGCAGAATATTATTTTAAACTGGATCCGTTACATCTAACATATTTTAAATGAAACGTTATACTTAATTCCCACAAATATCTGCAATTTAGTTCAATTTGTATGTGGTCATTACGGGAAAAAATTATATATGACTTATTTTAAAGTATATTTCTCACAATTTCAATTTATTTTAATTATTTAAAACTGCTCCAATATCTTGCAGGTCTATTAGTAAAAATTAAAGTCAAATTCCAACAAATAACTTCAATTACTGGCCACAAATTTGAACATAAATATTTAACTGTAATTATTAAACGTTCGTGGCAGTTAACAAATTTAATAATCGGGTTCAATCACTCGTTAGCCAGCCTCAAAATATTTTTTGCTTAAATTAGTATTTAATTTTTGTTGTGTTATACCAATTTACTTGTGTATTTTGGTCGTATCAAGGTTAATTTCGATTTATAAATGGAGGCTTACGTACAAACAAATATGTAGGCACGTGTAAGGTTTATTTTGGGGCTTAAATATTTAATTGTGTTTTTTTTTGTTGGTAGGTGAAAACCGGAACTGAGCCGAGGGAGACTTAAAAGTGTTATTGTTTATTGCACACGTGTAGAAAATACATTAGAGGTGTCAGAGGTTTATAATTAATCAAAATATGATGTATTTGGATAAATAGGTTTCTTTTATGTGAAGTACTTACAGTTATGGAGCCTTTCAAAGCACTTTCAATTAGTCATTTATCTTTTTTTTACTCCCAACAAAGTCTGAGTCCCATAATTTCTCATTAGGAGCTGTGTATTATTCTACAACTTTTCCTAAAGAATTTTTTTTAAGTACAAGTACTAGGAAATGTTAAACAATTTAAGTACCTAAACATTATCTGTAGCTGTACGTTGTCTGGCATATTAAACAGATACTTCAGTTGGCAAAAGTTTCCATTAACTACAGGTAGAGTCATTAATGTTTTATGATCCGACTTTTTTGTGTTTTCTGTTGAGTGTCTATGGAGAAAAGTGACTTCATTATTTGAGTACATGAATAGTAACGTTTTTTGAGTAGTGATATCAATCTATGGAAAGTTTATCAAGTAAATAATTTTATATTCAAAAGTAAACTTTAGTAAAGTCAAAGTAAATACTGTTCTATAATTTTTCAAATGTATAGAACTGAAATAATTTATACTGGCCTTCTTGCAATTCATCAAAACTACGCAAAAACTTCAAAATATGCACAAGAGTTGTTGAATTATTTAAATTATTATTCAACACAGTCGAAGTTCATGTCCAAACCGATTGTTCAAGAGCTTCCAAATGTTATTCGAATTCACTTCTTCGGCGCCACTTTCTCGCTGATTTGCATACACAATAAATCGAACCCTATATCGAATGACATAACCTATTGGAGCATTGCACAACAGATGTCGGAAATAAAATCCAACACATGTGTGTAGAGGAAATAAAACTAAAATAAATAAAATCGAAACGAAAGTCGAGATTAATTAATTGATTTACAATTTATTTCTACTAATAAAAATTTAAAAACTTTTCGAAACTACTAACTATCACAACACGAAAATGTTAGTTGTATGTATCGATTCTCTATGAAATATTAAATTTTTAACAAGAACTAAACAATTTCTAATTTTTGCATGGAATAAATATAAATATGTTCAATATTTAATACTTATAAATGAGATATATTAAAATAAATCTTTAAAAATCACAAAATCGAAATGAAATATATTTTAAAACCATCTTAAAATATCAACTCAAGTCATTGTTTTGTAAATAAGTTCAAAATCCTTCATTCGTCTGTTCATTAAGATGACTAACACCATTCGCAAGTCACTGGATTTCTGGTATTTCTTTTGTGTTTCTCGAGGTGAAAGTGGAAAAATGCCAAGCAAATAAACTTGACGTAATAAAACTCCGAAGAAACACAACAAGTTTTTTTGCTTTGCATGTTGCCAGACAAGAGGTCTCTTTGCAACTTTCCCAGAGGTTCGCCGGTTCATTAGGGGTTTTTCCAAATACAAATACAGTCTCTTAAAATTCCAGTTTCGTAAGCGGGGTCTAGACTAGATTAAAGAGATTTTGCTAGTCACTCTGTAGAGTTAACAAAGTTCATTATTCTAACCTGATTACTCAAACAGGAAGTGATGGAAACTCGACTTGATTTGTGACATTTAATTTATCGAACTAAGCCCAGACACCCGAAGATTGGATGGGGTTTGGAAAATATTCAGACCGACACCATAACCGGTTCCGGTTCCAGACGTAATCGTTACCATCCGAAGAAGTTGTCTAGGCCAGAAACAAGTTCAACGGAAATCGAGAGTGAACTTTTGGTTCACAAAACGAAATAAATATTTAAATATTCACGTTGAGAGCTCTTGTAAACCGCCGCTCGGTTTCCATTATAGCACGTGCCCTTCCCCAACTTGCCGGTTGAAAATTATCTGAATTGACAATTTCGGTTTCTTCTTTCCATGAGACTTCCTCTCTAGGCCAAAACAGAAGCTATACAAAAAATACAACAACCTTTAGGTGATACAAGGCAGTGCGGATTTTGCAATTCAATTTGTATTTATTTCCATTCAATTACGTGCACTCGGAAAGCAAATTGATTCACCTGAAGTCAACTTAATTGACTTGATATGTACATATATCTAGGTGCAAGAAATCGAATTATTTAACAGTCTGCAAAAATTCAAGTTCAATAGTTTAAGTATGTTAAAGAATTTAATTTTACAAGACATCGCATTAAGAATTACAGAACCTGTGAGTTGTAATGAAAAAAGAACTTATTTTCTCCTTAATAACTTTAAATATTTTAAAATTCTTTCCTTTTATTATTCATCTAATTACTTGATATAAAATCAGCAATCAAACATCTAATGATCAAGTGGTACAATGAATTAATTTCCTAAAAAAAAAAACGCTGAAACCTGCTTAAAATAAATTCCATTTCTAATTAACTGATAAACCTGATAATGACAATGGAACTTTTTGTTTGAAAACAAATTTTTATTTCAAATTTCTTCTGAATATAAACAAGTTTATAGAAATACAAGCAAAAAAATGTATTTAAAATTCCTAAAAACATAAACCAACTGAGTCATGCTTTACTGAATTTTTTAACCAGCAAACTGTATTTATAATGAGCCTAAAAAACAAGCCAGATTCGCGTCATAAATTGCAAATTTCAAAATTAAAATCAGTTAACGGTTGTAGCCTGGAAGTTGGATTTTCTCACCGCAAATAGGGTTTCCTGCAGTGGTTCCGCATTTGAAGTTCAAAGTCCGAAATAAGCCAACCGCCTAAGTTGGCTAAAACATAATGAATATTCCGATAATTAATAAAAACTAAGCATTGGATGACTGAACACAAATATTCCAAGTAAAGTTCAACGCATTGACTTGGCCTTGTGTTCGGGGCATGAGAGTCGTTTAAACAAAACAAAAAAAGACGCAACAAAAACATTAAAAAAATGTTGATAATATTTGCAACAGCTGATTGAGCGAATGGCCGAATAAATATTTGATTTAACTCACCGCATATAATGCAATCGAAAAAATTAACATAAATTCTTATCTCTTTCTTAATAATTTTCAATTTCTTTAAATGTATATTTGCTCAATTGTTTCCGAAATGAGTTCTTTGTTCTTGTTAGTCATTGTTTTGGATCTATTAGCTTTAGATTTGGGCAACCTTGAGGTCGGATTCTTTCCATCTCCGATCACCGATCTCTCCGATTCTCCCCCGATTTATTTTTATTTTTTTATTTAACGATTTGCGCAGTTCCCGAAATCTTAATTTGAAAGCAGTTAGCTATGCAAATGAGCGCCAGACCGAGTTAAGCAAAAAATAAATGTCAGAATCTGATGGATGCCTGAATTTCTAACCTTTTTGTATTGTTTTTAAATTTTCAGAGCACGACTTCAATGAGTTCTCAGCCGCTGCCGAGGCTCTGAAGCCTGGAATGTCCGTGGTGACAGGGGCGAACCTGAAGAGCAAGTCCCAGTTGTCGGATACCATCAAGGAGTCATGTCTGCCAAAGATGCTGTGCGAGCTGGCCTCCAAGCCGGAGTACCAGCTCAGCGAGAAGGAACGTGAGCTGCTCAGACTGATCAGGTGAGTGGATGCACTGGGAGAAAAGAGTTGGGAGAGGACAAGAAAATTGCTCAGAAGAGTGCACAAGGAATTTCCAAAACATTTCAGAACTTGCCTTTTATGATCTGAGCTATACTAGAGTCTCGATATTAAATAATGCTCACATTATCATAGTATTAAAAACACTCATATAAAATTTAAAGAACTTTAAGCATTAAAAAATACATTAAATTTCTTATAAATTTATGAAGTAAATGTTTATAAATTTTGAAAAAAACTAAAGATCTACTAAAAAAACGTTGTTAAGGCATACCAAATAAATTAGCTAACATAACAAATTGAATATAAATGTCAGCATATACGGCAAATACAAGAATTTATAGAGTTTTCTAACAAATATGTTTTCAATAACCGGTTGACAGTGACTTGCACATCAGCTTCCACTAATAATATAAGTTTTCTGCGATAAAGACAATCCATTTATAATAGATATTTGACATAAAATTAAAGCTTGTTGAAAGACTTTAAAGAGTATCAGGTTTAACATGTTTTTAGCTTACAGAAAATCTAAAAATATCAACAAAATTATTTATAATAATAAACACATATTATTATAAAAGTAATCAAAGCGTTTGAAACTACTTTTATAATAGGTTGAAAAACATATATATAAAAGCAATTTAAACAGGTTGTTTTAGAACCTGTAATTACCTAACAAAATGAGTTGGAAATTAAAAAGTATGCCTCAAACATGTTATATCTTTCCCTGTAAAAATTACCTAGATAGCTTAATTATTTTTGAAACTATAAATTCCAACAAGTAAAACCAGTTTCAATCTGATCTAAAAATGATTTGCATGATCAACAGTTACAAAGGCGTCTCGCTAACCGGTTTTAAATAGGGTTCGTTTAAAATTCTATTATAATCATTTCCCAGGGAAATAGATTTTCTAGGTAATTGAAAAAGCAAAGTGCAGCTGAGGTTTAGGAGCAAAAAAACAAAATTATTCTATTTGGAGTTAGCCCGATGTGACAAATACTTGAGCTATAACCTACCTCAACTTCAGCTGTAACCTCGCACTTGAGACGAAGGTGAAACACCGAAGCTGATGTAAAAGGCTTAGCTTTAGAATCTATACTAAATCAACAGCAAGGTGAATGGCTGAGGCATTCTAAAGATACAGAGTCTAGAGATAGATACTCACTGAAAGCGAAACCTGAACAAACTCCGTCAAAGCGCTTGAGGCTCACAGGCGAAGCGTGAAATGATAATGACTTGATATAATATTTAACATTTGTTCAGTTGTGGATAAACTTCCGTCTAATGCTGTGCCTTCCCCCTCTTAATTGCAGATCTCCGACGATGCCCTGGATGATGAATATGCCGCCGAGCAAGTGGTACTTCGCCGCCCACATGGGGGAGCTAATGCGTCACACCGGTGACCATCTCAGCGGACCGATGGGATGCGCCAATCTTTGGCCCAACTGCCCGATCAGCTCCAAGAAGCTGATGAAGCTCAGCTACAAAGTGAGGGTCTAGTGTGTACCCTCACTTGATCAATTAGGTTTAAGCATTAGGATTAGACACCTCTCGACTTTTGTACAATATGTCTTCGCCTTTGGATCCACCCTGACCTTCCTACCTTGTACATGACCTTATGTTTAGACTTAGACCTTAGTCCCGACACGACTGAAGTGACTGTGGAACTGTAAGCACTTGTATCTACTAGCTGCGAGTCCTAGGTAGATTTTAATTACATACGTGTGACTAGTCACGACCCGATTTAGCCTTAGGTCTAGTCGTAAGTTCGATGCTCCTGTAATTGTTAATAAATTACACTATTTTGTGTTTGTTCACTCGCCCTAATGATGTGTCTTAATCCGTCTTAATTGTTTGCTGCATCACCTTCGGGGCATTTTGTGAAATGGCTTTAATAAAAAGTAAACACTATTTCAGTCTCCCAAGTGAACGTACGTGCTGTATGTAATTGCTAGGAAGCGTTCAACTTGCTGGCAATGGATTTATATTTTTAGGAATTACTTTGCACTGGGGAAGGTCGACTTTTTGCTATCAAATGCGACAATCATTGGAGATTTCGCTTGACGACGGGGTGAAGTTTAATTGATTCGACTTAATTGACATGCTACAGGCAGTGGAAAATTGTTACTAAGTAACTAAAAATATAATCTCGAAATATAAGTATAATATTTTATGTTATAAGTACTAGTGCAGTAAGATATTTTTTAAATATAATTTGTAGGGAAACCTTTTTGCAGGGGTAATATGATATCTACCTAGCAAAGTCGTCTGTCTGATTGTCAATTTATCAATCCATAAAAACTAGTGTATCCTCAAAAAGATCCTCAAAAGATCCTTAAATTTCCGTCATTACAATGTAAGGAAATGCTTTAATATAATCAAATATTTTTATTTGTTTACTTTTACTGTATTAACTAATTACCTCTGGCAAAGAAATAGAATTAGTTAATAAGATCTTATCTTACTAAATTTGTGACATTTATAAACGCTTGTATTATTTTTGATTTCTCACAATTCAATATTACTCTCAATTGTTTCTGGTTGACTTTAAAAAAATTCAATTTTGCCTCAAAGATATTGAAAAACAAAATATAAAATATTGATTATATTGTAGCTCATAAACAAAATAGATTATAATGCAAATTAGTGCAAACACAAAGCGAGTTTTTGAAATTTTTTGAAATAAATTGAAGCTGCAGTTTAGTTTAAATTGTAAAATCTTTAAATTAAATACTTAAAGACCCATTTAACCATGTTTTAAACTAAAAAATAACTATTTTGTGCATACTTTCGGGGCTAAGTTAAAAAGACTGCATACCTCCCACCTTGAGTGCACAAAAAACAAAGCCACAAAATTTTAAGTGTACACTTTATATGCAAATTTAACTCGCCCCAATGACAGGGTACAAAATAAAAATTAGAATACTTTTAGCTTTGTTTACAATTGTCTCTCTCTGGACAATCCAGTATTCCGGTCACATTTTCCAGCAAAAAAAACAAACGATATTTGAGTGAAATTGATGGATTATGACAAACATATTGATGACTGAATTATCAAAAAATATTTATTGAAATGAAAACAAAAACAAGAAAGTATTTTTAGATTTCGCCTATACATAAATCAGTCAGTGACACGAGGCAGTCAATGAAATAAATCAATGCAGCAGGTTTCAAAATTGATTTTCAATTGAAATTCCACTTACACTTGTCGCCCCGAAAAACACGTTCAATTTGGTAACCATAAAATTTGGCCAGAAATTGCACTTCAAAGCATAAAAAACAAAAACAAAAAAGTACAATAATAAAAGTCAACAAATTTGTAATATTAAACTGAAATTGGGTCAGATTCGTCCAACTGTTTGCTGCCTTTTTTGTTTCTGTTACGCTACTTGCGTGTTTTGTGCGCAACTTTCATTGTTTTGGCCTGGCCCAAATTTCGAGTTTGGCTCAATTTCTGCCTTTTTTTTATTATTTTGGTTTGACGTTTGACAAGTTGTTGGTTTATGCAATCGTGGAGGGTGAGCTTGGAGGGAGGAAAAATGCAGGTGTATTCCCGGTGCAGTCGCATTGTCTTAGACTTCTGCCAGGTTTTGGTAGTGGGGTTTTCTGTCTTGTAATAATTTCCGCATACTTGCCGGCTCCAAAAATGAAAGCTAATTTTTGGCGACAGCTTTGAGTCACCGAATTTGGAATTCTCTACGGGTTTATAATTTATTGCCGAATTAAAGTTGGAATAAATTATATACGTATGTGTTGTGAAAGATATCTGTAAAGATGTAATTTATGAAAACATTTTCTATATTATAATATTATGTTGTGAAACGAGTATGTTAATTGTTTCTTGATTCTAAACTCTCATATGTTTATTTAAAATCAATCATCAAAACAATATTAAACCTATCCTTTCCCTGGGCTAACTAATACGTGTATTTAGAGTACCATCTCCTAGTGTATTTAAATTTGTATTATTATTAATTATTTAACTACTCTACCCGTCTCTTATATACTTGGGAAAACCCGATTACTTTCCCCTGTAAACATTGCATTTCCTTAATTTACTTTCCTGCTGCGCATGAAATTGTATCGCGAACTTTTCAAACACCTCAATGGTTAGGAAAAGGCAAATTTTCCATCGCAATAGTTTGGTGCATTTAACCATCACTTGAGTGCCTCTTGAGGTAGTCTCCACTGTGGCTGGATTGCATAACTCGACCGTCGTGGTGCCTACGTGAGTTGGCCGAGAGCTGGTGGCTTTAAACGGGTCCCGGCAACTTGGCCAACTGACTGATTGAACCACACTCTTTGGCGTACGATCAACGTCAGGCGGTAAATTATTCTTTTTATTGAAACCTCAATTGCATCCACACAGTTATTTGTAAGTTGAATTTCCTCGATATGGCTTTCATTTCCTTGCCCCCACTTTGCTATGCTGATCCAGAGCTCTCAGCCTCTCAGCTCGTTCACCTGGTCAACGACACGTGCTCCTCAATCTCTTGATAAATGCTTAAGCAAATAATAAGCATAAGCATTGGGCTAATATTAAAAGGTGTTAATCATATTAAGTGAGGTATAGGGAACTTGTGGTATTTAAGAAATAGTTTAAACTAGTTCCAGTAATGCTTATTACTAACAGCTTTTGAAGCTCTCATTGGGACTACTATTATTCTGGCCTGAATTTGGTAAAGAAAGATCCTCCTACTTTCGAATAACAGAAATTATATTTGTTTAATGAATATATAAAAATATTTAACATAGTTATAGGTTTCTATCTCTATAAATCGGTTCCACCTTCTGCTAAGTCGGCCAACTTAAACTTTGTTGACCCATAACGCCAGCCACGATCGAAACCAAAACCAATTGCTCGAAATTAAGCAAACATTTCGCCCATGTAGGAAATTTCGCACTTGGTACACCAGACAGACACAGCTAACGGAAATGAAGTAATTGATATGCAAGCCAAATAAATATAAATAAAGAGTGAAGAAAGGAAATCCCCAGCCGATGCCCCCAAAAAGTCCGAATGTTTGGTCATATTTTGGCTTGAAAGATTTCATAACTTTTTATAATTGCACAGACGCACACCACAAAGTTAGGAGAAATAAAACCAGACATACAGCTGAGGTTAAGATAATAGCACCAGCTTGAACAGACAATGTAGTCCAGCACGAAAATATACTAGTACAATTTTTGTATGATCATATAAACTATATATTTTTAGTAATTGTGTATCAAACTTTTTGATTAATCACTTTCTACCATGACTGATAAAAATATATAAATAAATTAAATACAAATTAATATATTTTTTTCTAGTGTTTAATATTTATTGTTGCTAATATCTTCACCATTTGTTTATATATGTAAAGAGAGACGCTTTGGAGCTGAGAGAGCTTGGTGCCTAGACTGCTGCGCCCTGCGCTTAGTGGGCCTCACTTTCACTTACTGGTCTTGTCTTTGGCTTCCGCACAAAACTTGGTCAAAATGCAAAATAAACTTGGCCTGCAAAAAAAATCAATCCAAAATCCAAGCACAGGCGTCGAAAAGAGGATGAAATAAATGTCCAAGCTCCTTATATTTCCACTTAATATATAATAATTTAAATTTGACAAATTGATATTCACTTATTTCATATTTTCACACAAATAAATTCTGACATTTGAGTGTTAACACATTATTTGTAAAGTTAATACAATAAATCACAAAGGAGGTCTCTATTTGATTTAAATAAATACAATTTTGTATATAATATACTTAATATTTTTTAATCGAATCAGTTTTATGTTTGTGTTTAAATAAATCCCATTAAATTATTGAGTTTAAATTGGTTTAACTAATAACAAAAGGATTTAGTCTCTTTAAAATAGTTTAAAGAGCAAAAGTTAGGACATATCTAAATATAGGAATTTATCGAATTTTCTAATTCTAATACCAAACCTCCTCCTTCCTAGCCATAATTTCTTTCTTCAAAAAATATAACCCTTCCAGTTTTATTTCTATAAATCTAACTTTATCTTAAGTGTCGCAAATATTTTAATTTGCTGTAAATCCAAATATAATAATCCCCTTAACATCTCTTCTCCTACGTCTCTGTAACACACACTCAATACACTCATTTTGGGGAGTGTAAGCTTTACACAACAAGTGATTTCTTTGGGGCCTACACTTGAAGTTCGGCTCCAGCTCTCCGACACCGTCTTTGCTCCTCTCTCTCTCTTTGTTTACATTTAAGTTTTCGTTTGGTTTACTTTTTATGCGGCACTTTGGCGGCTTTAAGCGGCTGCAGGTCGCTTTAGTCAGTCCAAGACTTTCAAGCGCACCAAGTCGCTTCGGCCGTCGTCCGTGGATATACAAATATTCATCAATATACATAATAGTATTACGTTGTGTTGCCCAACCTTTTCTCGACGGCCATGAATCTCCGGTACATCTGCACACTGTCGCTGGTGCCGACGCTTTGCGTGCTCCTCGTCTTGCTGCTGGAGTATGTGGAGGAGGGTTTGGCCCAGAACCCTGATCCATTATTCGAACTGCCTGTCCAGCTGGTGGGATTCCCTGTAATTGTGCTCTCCGTCCGCCTCTCCCAGTTCGCCAAGAAGCTGGCCTACTCCCTTAGTCCCAGTGAGTTCGATATGATTTCAGCCCTTTAATTCCAAGTGAAAGTTGATAATATGTTGTGCATAAATTAAGTGTTTTGCATTGTTGAAATCAGTGCAGGAATTCGATGGGGAAATTCCAAACAAATGCGAAGCCATCCGAAAGTTTTGAGAGCGTGTCGGTCGAATTGTAGAGAAAATTTCATATGGATAATAATTTCATAACTTTTACATACTTACATACATACATAAGCACATGTGCTACTCTTCATTTCTTTTAATGAAACTATCAAAGTGATTTTGTTCTTTGGCAACAATCCTTATTTATTCAAATGTATTTGGTTTGATAAACATTTTTTGAATAACTGAAGGGACCTTGCTTATTCAGGAGGATGAAAGATCACACGTTGCTCGTAATACTTTATGACCATTTGGGGCCACTTGATGTTGGCCACGTTGGCTGCCACCAAATCGGCCCGATTGGTGCCCCTCCAGCGGATCAAAAACATCAGTTGGCCGGAATCGTTGGTGGCGCCCAGTATTTCCAACGGCTCCAAAAGGGAATCTATTGATCGTATATTGGAGTCAGAGGTGTTCCGATTGTTATTGTTGTTGTTGCTGTTGTTGAACATATTGGTGCGTTGAGTTCCAGATAGTTCAGTTTCTGTATACAATTTATATAAGATGCCAAATGACCGGGTTCACCAGATCCTAGAGGTCGTGTTAATAAGTAAATATAACTTTCACAACTTTCAGAACTTACACGCTGCTTTTTTGCTGCAGGCAAAGAAGCTGTCCAAACAGGAAAAGAATGTTCTAGGAATTTCCGCTGCACAGCTTCAATTTTTAAGTTTGAAACGAACGGAATAGAACAGTTTTTATCATACATATAAAGCTATCGGTCAGCCAGAGCCCGGGGAATGTTGGAATATGGAATAGACATTTCATTATTGACAAAGACTTTTTTAATCGAATTTGTATAATTAAAATATTAAAATTGAGTCCAAAGTCTTAAGTAGTTGCAAATAAATGAATATATAATTGCAATAACTTATATTTCATTTGTTTAACAGCTTTAAATTATTTTATGATAAACAGATTTATGAGCAGTGTGAATGTGAGTTTCACATCTTTTTAAAATATCTAACGTACTCCTGTGATGTGATGGACTATTGTATGGTATGGGTACAGCACTTTTGTATTGCATTTTGTAAAGATGTGAAACATAAATTCCCAATAAACTCTTTTACGGACGGCCTTCACATAACAGCTGTTTACTTATTGAAAACACAACATTGGCCAATAAGAAATCTATTGAATTGATATATATTATTTTGAAGTAATAAATATTGATTGTCAATGAATTTTATATTTTTTTTATTATTTTGAAGTAATACCTTATAAATGCACTCATAAATATTGATTGTCAATGAATTTTTTTTATGTTGTTTATGTAATTCTCTTAGCATTTTTGGTAACCGTACATTTTTACATCTTCAATTTGCAATATTTCTGCCTAGATCGCTTGCATACAAATTAACAAATTAATTATTAAATTAGGTGTATATTTGTAGGGTTCAAGAAGTCTTAGGTAATTTATCAGCTAATTCTAAACTCCTTAAGTAATATTTCAAAATGAGGTATTCACACCACTTTGATGTGTTATCATTGTTTGGGGGCTTTCCAAAACCACTTGCGGGATGATGGTGTGATTGCTTTTTGGCCCGTAAAAACCTGATCTGCAAGTGCGATGACAAAAGCGGTGTCCAACTGAGATCGTGATCGACCACTTAGCCGACAAAATTGTGAAAATGGGGTCAAGGCTGATGGTAAGCCAGTAGCTGAAACCATAACAAACACAAAAGCAACGCACAGGCGGAAATAAAGTCATTGAGTGTGATTGGGGCTTTGATGTACATTATACATACATACATACATATGTAAGTATGTAGATGTGGGTAGCTGAGGTGAAGCGATGAATGATTAAGTGGGTATATCCCAAAATGAACAAGAAAGGGAACTATGCCAAAGTTTATATACGCTTGCTGTTTGCAATCGAACTAGAGAATCTATCGGAAATCGGTTGTAACTAGCCCTTAAACTTTCGATATTTTAGAAATGTGTACATTCAAATTGTGACGACGAATCATATGTTAAAAAACTCATAACTAAAATAATAAATTCAATATACATTAATTGTCATCTAATAAAACAATTTGTAACATTAGGAAAAGGTTTTAATAGATATTTTTTGTTATTCCCTCTTTTTACAGGCACATATAGATCTCGCAGTCGTAGGGATACTGCCCATCCGCTGTCCCTTGACGCTGAGTTGGCCCAAAAACAGATCCTGCTGGAGTTTGGGTCGCAGGCTTGCATCCTGGAGGAACCGTGCCGTGTCCACGCGTCCCGTCACTCGAGTAGCAGCGAACGACGATTGCCGGGTGAAGGCAAGGCGAAGCCACATGCCGCCTGGTCGGAGGTCTTGAGGTGAGTTTGACTCATAAATTTGTAAATATTTTGCTTTGCTAAAAGGGGTTGCGGTACTACTTAAATATTGTTTAAAATATGCACATACATTTCTATTTCTTTAAATATTAAAAAGGTTTATTAATATATTTGGTTTGGTCAATGCTAATATTGTTTATGTATCCAAAGCTTTGTATATATATGTATTTAGCTTGGTCTAGACACAGCTTTAAGAACACTGCATATAGTAGATAGTATAGTATATAGTCAAATGTGTAATTAAGTAAAGATTGTCTTAAATACTTGAATTTATTTCCTGATTTTTGCTACATCTCCTACTCTGTGAATCCATTTATGGCTGACTTACTTTATGGCAAACTCACTCGAACCTTGAATTGGCAGTAACAACTTGAACTTTCTTTAGTTCTGGTTCTATTTCTGGTCTGGAATTGCATTTCTCATTGCAGTTTGGCAAATGAATGGTTTGTTTTTAGCTAAAGCAAAATGTTTTCCAATCAATTTTTATATCCTCCTTGTTGTCGCTGTCTGTCTGTCCCATCCTTAGAGTTCGCCCATTGTCATTGGCATTGCTAACTCATCTGTGCATAATTTAATGTCTCCTTGGGTTTAAAAGTGCATGTCACGACTCTGACTTTGGATTTCAATTTGTAAGTTTACATAAATTTGAGTTTTTTTTTGTACAGCAGTTCCTGATGAGTTGGTTGCCCTCGCAGCTTCCCCATCAGCATCACCATTGTCATGGTAATGTTGTAAAAGCAGCAAATTATTCTTCTCGCCCAAGCTAACTGCTGTGATTCATAATTAATGCGCTTGTCTTTGCAGTTTTCCTTCTCGTCTTTTCATTTTTTATTATTGGCATTTTAGGTAATAAAAGCAAGGAAGCCCGGGGTCAGTTACGGCAGTAAAACATTTTTATTGTGACCTGAAAGTTTCCAATTTTGAAATACTCGCACTCGGCAGGAGGACAAACAAAGGGCAGATTAAAGAAAAGCTTCTTAGGACTGTTACAGCAGACGTGTCGTATGTGCAACATTTTCTCATTTCGGCCAATAGACATTCCCTTCAACTCCCCATTCATTTATTCTATTTAATACATATTTTGTGATATCGCAAAAAGGTTTCCACCACATGCATTTGACACTTTCACACTTAATGTGCAAAAATGCTCACCATTTCACCCTACGCCCTTGCCCTCAAAATTGTGTGTGTTTGTTTGTTTGGCCAACGTGTCAAGAGCAAATATTCAAAATTATTTTTGAAATGTTCGTCTCTGTCTGAGAGAGGAGTCCGATTCCGAGTCCGAGTCCGAGTCCAACTCGAGACCTTCATCCCTGACCTGCCTGCCGCCTTTGCCGTCTGGCTGTGATGTTTTCTCGTTTGGTTTTAGTTTTGTTTAGGTTTCGTTGCGCTGCAAATGTAATTGGCATTAGAAGAAGAAGTTTTCTGCAAACTCGACGTGTTTTGTAATAATAAAATATGATTAAAGTTTTTGATTAAATTTATGCAAGTGCCCAGTGGGGGAATGGTATGCCAATGCTGGCTTTTTCTCCAGGTTTTTGTTCTCTTGATTTTCCTGAGGGGCATCTGCAGATGTGTTTTTGTTACCAGAGTTGATTAAATTATGTATTGCAGACGTGTGAAATTTCAACTGTCCGAAGCTGCTCTTCATAGGTGTAAAGCAAAAGGGTTTTGGTGTACAAAAAAGGAAAGGATATCACACAAAGTAATCAGCAGGGAACATTCCAAAAAGGTATCCCTTTGTAATTTGGTATAGAAGGAAAGAGAGAGAAATTAGGTGGTTTATTGTATATAAAGAAATAAATTTGCTTAAAGAGTTGTGCTAAAATTAACTCATAGCTTAGTTTTCTGCTTCTTCTTCAAATTCAAACTATTAAAATCAAGCGTTTTATTAACCAAAAATCACATTACTTGCTTCTAACTGCATCTTTTTGGACATAAATATATCATCTCATGCACAATTAATTCACAAATGAACCAAGGAAGACTCACACCTCACCCCAAAACACACATCAGCATCCCTTTTCTGTCTGCTTCTGAAAATTGCTTTTGTTTTTAAGCAAAGGATATGGCTTCATCGGTGTTTTCTATATGTGTTTACCTGCCGACTTATAAGTAATTATTTTCTGTAATCCGACTCTCCACACCGCCTGCAACATGCACCATCAGGAACTACAAAGTGCAACCAGGGATTGGTGGCATGAAGCAATGGTATCTTCTCTCCCTATTCATCGGTGATGCTGTGCGGGATGTGCCGCTGTGCAAGCATTTGGCGAAAAGGATGCCCTGTCCAGGAGTTGGACCGCTGCCGCCACCTCAACCCCGCTGAAGACCAAACCCCCAATTCCCATAGATAGCAGGAGGAGAGTGGCTTCAGGATGGACCTTCCCCCTTTTTTTTAGTCAGTCACATCGGACATCTTTGTTAATCATCCATCTTCTGGTCCCTCATCTCCATACTCCTCCTTCGTTCACCTCTTTCATTACGCAGTACTTTTAGTTGCTTTTAAGGGTTTTAATTTAAACGAACGCTTAGATTTATGAGTAAACAAATGAAAATAAACAAACCAGTTGGAAATAAAAAAAATCCAAGCCCCAAATTTGTGTGTTCCTATGCCAGGACATGTCTGTCTGGACGACTCCCTCAATTTTTCCGCTTGGACAATGCATTTCTCTTTCTCCATTTCCATGGCAAGGAAAGGAGCAACAAAAAATTGATACGCCAAAGAGTATGCGACGAAAAAAATTCGGACTGGTTGCAACGCCACTTGCAAATTGTTGACGCAAGGTATTAAGCCTCGAAAGAGTGGGTTCTCCCATACCCTGTAATTATTTTGGAATTTTTAAAGTGACTTGATTTGATTTTGTGGCTTTAAAACAAGTGTTAAAATTTGTTTATAAATAATAAAGTTGAAAAATATAATGGTTTCCTTAAAAAACAAATATAAAATTATTTCCAAAATCAAAACGGAAATATATACATATATCTTTAAAGACTGTTTAATGTTCTTTCAGATTTAATCGATTTCCTTAAATTTAATTGGTACAGTTTCCCAAAGATCAGGATAAGCTTCAAGTGTATGAGCATTATGTATCTTGAAGATTGTGAGCTCTTTGAATTAGCAGTCTCAGTTGGCTTAGAATTGAACCACAATATAAAATTGTAGAACTTGTATACTAAATAGTAAGCTTAAAACATTATCAATATATTTAGTTAGTAATTTTTACACTGTATGCTTAATTATAAGTTCAGCTATAGCAGTTGTGCCTTTTGCCTGTTTATAATTTCATATTCTTCCGGGGTATGTGAGTTTCAACGTATCCTAGAAAGTAATTTATTTTATAATATGAAAAATATTACCTTCCATTAGGTTGATTTTTTCCAAATCACACATCACCCAAGATTCGATCAGTTTTTCCAACTTGCTCCCAATTTCCAACTCTTACCTTCCACCCCTGCACTTTCAACAAGAATTGCAACAAGCCAAAACACACACAACTCTCTCGGGGGTCTCAGAGCCTCTGGACTCTAGCCCCTAGCCCCTAGCCCTATGCCCCAAACCCCAACCTTCAACTCCATCGCCTCTGTGTTTCCCATTTATTAACTCGTTGCATATGGTTTGCATACAAACTGTCGCTTCTGTCGTCGTTGTCGTCGTCGCTCCGAGTGCTGTAAATAAAATAAGACGACAGTTTGGAGCACAACTGAGGTTGGGGATTGGAGCTTTTCGTGTTCCATGGGGGCAACTCTGACAACTTTCGGTCGGTCTGGCTTGCACAAAAGTATGCTGCACTTTTTTGTGCACTTTTCCATTGCTGTGTGCATTTTTTCGCTGACAAACATTCAGAAGAATTTTCCTTTTCTTTTTTTTTTTTTTTGGGGAAAATGGGTGCAAAAAAATAGAAAGAAATGAAATTGTTTGTGCTCCTAAGGGGTATGCCCCTGCATTTTGCTATGGGTTTCTTTTCATACCTCGTATTTGTAGGAGGAGTATATTCCTACAATCTAAGGAATATATTCAAGACTTCTTTGTAATAAATTTAATGTTGATTATCTGAAGTCCAAAGGAAACTATTTTTTAATATATAATTACTTTTGAACTTTTAGAAAATGTTACCTAAGTTGAACATTATTCCATATTAAATCAACAAACATAATTTCTTTTTGTAAATTCCTCTACATTTCATAAACTATAGGTATTCCTTCTTCCATCTTCAAAAATCTATCTTGTCTCTTTATTTGTCTTGCATTTCCTTTTTCTGTTTGGGTTTATCACATTTAATTTTTCAAACCATAGTATTCCCTGGATGTGGCCGCTTTCTGCTTGCTGATTTATGCGGCAATATTCGCTGGCAACGTAGTCACTTGTTGAAACAATGGTGAAGTTTATCTTATTACAAAAAAATAAATAAAACCCCTCTGAGTTGATTGAATTGTGTGTTTTTATTAATAAATACTTGTTTAAAGCGTTAAATATTTACAAACTTATGTGACTAAGTGTTGGTGGCCTGCCTCTAAGTGGGTCATAATTCAATTGCAAATAAAAGAAAACGAAATGCCTTTTATGATAAAATTAACAACTTTAACAAATTAGATCAGTCATATTTGTGATATTTAAATATTTAAATATTTATATACGATTTTGTTTGAGACATACTTTCCCTTCTTAGAATTTCTCTTAACTTTTGTGAACAACTTGTACGAATTAATGACCTATTGTACTACAACTACAGAGCTTATTTTTAACATTTGTTTTGTTCCTTTTTATAACATTCAGTATCTCTTTCTTTACATAAACCTAACCTGTTTTAAAATATACCTTTCTGCCATCGGGTCGTATATAGTACTCATTGACTCCCTGCGAATTGGTCACGTAGATGTTTTTGTCATCTTCGTGATACGATGGTTTTTGACTTCCGCTTCCGTATCGATTGTCACTGATATAGTTGGAGTTTGGATAGTTGTAATGGTTAGGTCTCTCATTTCCTGTCTCATCTCCAAATCGAACATGAGTTCCTGGCATAAATTCACCATGATTCAAGGAGTTAAAGCCACCTTCGAGTCGATAGTGACTGCTCACCACCAGGCGATCCTCCTTGGCCTCGCCCAGGTCATTGTATTCGTAGGTGGGAGCATATGTGGGTCGATTCAGGATCTTTCCTTTGCGAATGTGCTGCTCATAGTGATCGGGGAAGATAACCCGCGCTCCTCGTTGGGGAGGAGCTGCATCATCGTAGACTGCATTCGGAGGAAGTGAGTCCTCTTTGTAGCTTTGTTGGTTAAGTTGCAGCTCGTGAAGACGCTGAATTTGCAGCTGTTCTTTACGAATTCTTAAATCTTCTCTGAGTTGCTCTTCCCGAATTCTTTCATCTTCTCTGAGTTGTTCTTCTCGAAGTTGTTCTTCTCGGAAAGATTCTTCTCTAATTTGTTGTTCCCTAAGTTCGGCTTCTCTGAACTGCTCCTCTTCTCTTAGCCTTTCCTCCTGTAACCTCTCCTCTTCCGGATGCTCGTTGGTATCTCGGAACACTATCCTTTTTCCTCTGCGTTTATCCACACCAAAGTCCGATTCTGCCAGACCATTGGGCAGAACAGCTTTCCAGCCTTCCATCAAGGACAATTCCTTGGCTCGCCTCACATTTTCAGCTTCGGGTTTGTCGTCCTGATCCTGGGGAAATCTCAGCTTCCGTTGGGCCGCATCACGATTAAATTCCCTAATAACATCCGCTGGAGTGGCATCCGGAAAGCGTATATTTGTTCCATCCTCGTGTTCTTCCTCACTTTGGATGTCCTTAAAGGTAACCACTCGGCCTTCGCCTTCGTTGTCGGGAAACTGCAGCACTCCAATTAGTTCGGTGTGAGCCTTGGCAGCCTCTTCCTCCTCATCGTCCTGAAACTTCACCAGCTGCTGCTGACCAGACTGTGTGTCCAGATTATCCTCTTCATCGTGAAAGTCATCATTCAGATTTAGACTCCTCCTTCGCCTTCTCCGCTGGTACTCGACACCATTAAGGTATTCGGACAGCACCTGGGTAAAGAAACTACCTATGCCGCTGGTTATATCCGTGGTAGGTCGCTGGGTGGGTCTGGGAGGTGGTCTTGGGGTGGTATAAGTCTGACCACCACCACCGCCTCCTCCGCCACCAGTGAGAGCGGAGAGAATGCTGAACAGGCTACCTGTTCCTCCATCTCCTAAAAGAGAGGTTTCAGGTTTCTCCTCTGGCTCACTGAAGAACTTGAAGAAACCGCCGCGATGATTGTTAAGGTAGTGAATGATTTCCATCTGTTAATGATTTAAATATATTAATTAAATATATTTTCCAAAGAATATTTATATACGAATTTATGGAAATTAATTGTTTAGACTTTTACCTCATTTTTAGGACACTTTTCATAAGTCCGAATACAGCTTCTATCTCCTCCACTTAAGCCCAGCAGCGCAGCTCTACCATAAATTAGAGCAGGTGAGGCTACAGGAAAACCAGCCAGGAAACTGTATTTAAGAATAAATTAATATAAGTGTAATATGGAAATAAATAAATAATAAGCTATAATAATATTATTAATAATCATATAAATAATAATAATATTAATATTGATAATATTAATATTGATATTAATAATAATATACAGCATAGGGGTATTATGATTACTCTCTGAACCTTGAAAAGCAGTGAAGGAATCATTTCCGACCCTACAAAACATATATATTCTGGATCACAATGAACCGACGAGTTGATCTAGCCCAGATTTATTAATCAAATAAAAACTAACACAGAAGTGCTTTCCGAATTCAATCTAAGGCTTTTTTTGGCTTAGTTAAGAGCTTTTTGAAATTTGATTTGTTGTGAAAATTGGCATACATTAATTTCGGTAAAAATACTATCCACAATTTATATTTGGACGACCAATTAACCATAATGTTTAGACATAATGGCATCCTTACCTTTCGACCTGCATAGATATTTCACCCCTAATCTTTCCATTAAGTTATACAAGTCCTTTAGACCCTTCCTGGGCAGCCTGTTTATATAAAACTTAATTGACTTGAAGCCAAGAATTTGCGAAAGCCAAAAACAATTTCAATTTACAATGGCCACCTATCTCAGACCTCTTCCTGTCAACTTATTACCCCCAGACGTAGCTCATTTAATGGAACAATCAATATGGTTAGGACAGGACTGGGCTGCAGTAATGAAGTCTAATCCCGGTTAAGGCTGCACCCCATCTGCCTCGAAATGCAAATTTAATAATATTTACTATATAACTAAAGCCCCACCCTGCAAAAGTGAAGCTCTCCTCCCTATATTATATATATATTCTTGTTCCTCTTCCTGTTTGCAAACTCACTTGGTTATGGCTGGGGAGGTAACGAATCCGGGCAATTGGCCACGTAACGTTTGACCGGCAATCATCTGGCAGAGCACCTTGGGCACGCACTGCAAATCGTCGTTGCGAGCGATGTTCTCCAGTGCCCTAATGAGTCGTGTGTTGGCCGGTCGTCCTCCTCCTCCGCCTCCTCCACTGGGGTATCCTTGTGCTCCTTGTGTTCCAGCAAATGCGCCGAGAAGGCTGCCCAACGGACTGGCTGACTGTTGGGATGAGGAGCCACCACCTCCGCCCAAGAGGAGATTCGTAAATTGCGGTGCATACTGCTGCGTGGAGCTAAGCAGCGATGCCAGGGTGGCCAAACCACCATCCATTACTCCTCCTCCTCCTCCTCCTCCTGATGACTGAGTGGCAGGACGATAGTTGAACTGCTGCTGCGGCTGCTGAAAGTGCTGGGACTGCGGTGGTGGTGGCGGTATCTCGCCAATTTGATACTCGTAGTAATTGTGTCCCGGTCTGGGTCGCTGGGATATGCCAGCTCCAGGTGGTGCTCCGCCTCCTTCTCTTACGTTCTGGGGATTGTATTGATAGTGTCCAAACTGCGGCTGTTGGTGCACCGAGAGAAAAGGGGACAATTATTGGTTACTAAAAGCATTTTAGTTTATAAATTAGTTAATAAGTAATCCCAAAAAGTTCAAAAAAGCTTCAGTGTTAAAGAATACTATCTAGTATCTTCACTATGAAGAAAATGTAGATATATTGATACTGTTTAGATATTTGAAATCAATATTCTATATGACAAACTTCAGTAACTATAACTGCTTCGCTTTTTATATCTCGCAATACTTTCCTAATTTCAACTATCATTTTAAAATTTCCCTTTAAAATTATCTCTTTTTGTAGTTTTGTTTAATTTTTCTTCCAAGTGTACCTGGTTGGGGCTCTGTATCTGCGTCTGCTGATGCTGTTGCTGGGGTTTTGGTCGCTGCAAATAATTATCAAAGTTGTTTGCATAATTAGACGAGGCTGGCGCTGGCGCTGGTCCTGACCCTGCTCCCAGTCCACCTCGATTCCCATTGATGTCTTGGCGCTGGTACAGTGGTCGCTGCTTTGGCTGCTGGGGCACAAAATTGGATGTCTGCTGGGCGGCATAACTGGGCGGTGGGTAATCATGGCTATCGTAGGAGATTTTCTGTGAGGCAGTGGTGGGTGGTGGTGGCAAAGCAGGCGTGGGTGGCCTTGTGGGTCGTCGATACGTTGGGGCAATGGGACTCTCATCGAAGACGTAGCCAGGTCGCTTTAGATACACATCGTCCACGTGGCCAGGACGCGGTTGGTGGGGTTGTTGATGATTTCCGCCCACCAAGAGGGAAGATTGCACTGTGTAGGCCTGATCATCTTGAGGTGCCTGCTCCCGTTGATACTGAATTATTGACGGGGGTGTGGGCGTATATCGATAGTTTTGCTGGGTATATGGATCCAGATAGCTAACCACCGGTGTGGTGGGCAGTGGAGTGCTCTGGAAGACCGCCGCGTGTGAGTCCTGGGGAAAGGAGAACTGCTTGTCCAAAGCTGTAGCCTGCTGCTGGTGCTGCTGCTGTCCCAGGGAACTTGGTATTTCATGCCTGTAGTTGGGTTCCAAATAGCTTGGAGGAAATCGATTGAAGATCCCACTCTGTGGCATCACATCCGAGGGCGTGAAATCCAGCATTTGTGAGGGCCTAAAGCCACCACCAGAGGTCACTCTCGCCGAGGTCTCTGGTGGGTTTTGGTTGTCTCGCACCTGCACCTCCTGCTCCTGCTCCGAGGGAAAGAAGTTTTTCAGCTTCACAGATATTTGATTTTCCTCGCTGTCAAAGTAAAGGATAATACATTAATAACCAAAGTTTATCACAGCAGGATAATTTGGAAGATTTAAGAGGGAGATATTAGGCATAAAAGATGTGACAGAAATTTGCATAATTGAGGAGGAGAAAAGCGCAGCTCAATCAACTCACCCGTTGCCATTTCTTATGCACGACACGTCGGCGACTAATGCGATAATTAGAATTGCAATTTTCCATTGCACACTCTGCGGGTCCCATAGCAATTGCATTTTGGCGCAGGATTTCCTTCGGAAAGGGGACACGGGGGCGGGGTGGAAAATATGGAAAATCCCGCAGCTCACGTCAACGATTCATAAGCTCCAAGACAAGGCACAATCTTCGCACGTCGCCTAAAGTGGGAAAAATGGAATGGAAAACATCATAAAAACTTGCTGTCATCTCAAACTACAAAAAAAGAATTCCTTCTCGGTGACATTTTCTTTGCTACATTTGCACATAAATTTATAGATTTCCCGCAACCCGCGACACCCCCCGGGGGATGTACATTTGCATTCATATTAATGCAATTCTCACGTGCTAGCCCCGGCAACGGAGTTTTCGCCGACGCCGACATTTGTTTAATTCCGCTTTTTATGATTGCGCCGTGTTTATGCAACCGCACGACCGCCAGAAATAATCGGGGATCCCATCATCCTTAGGGGGTTTCCCAGGCTCCCGAGAATCTTGCAGAATTATTTGGATTATTGTCAAGTTTTTATTTGGCGGTGGGACTTGGCTCACTGACAGGCCTTAAAAGTTTAACGCCCTCCGAGCGAACTGTTATGGTATATATCTTTATGCCCAGTTTCCCAGTATTATTATGAGAAGTGTCTATCCTAGTTTTAAGTGGTCTGGTTGTAAATAAACTCTTTAGCATGATTGTCCTTTGTCATACCCTTCCAGAGCGTGTTATGACTATAGTCTGAAAATCAGTGAAGGAGTTATTTTCGACCCTATAAATCATATACATATATTCTTGATCAGCATCAACACCCGAATCTTTCTCCGAAAAATACCAAATTTTTCAACATTTTTAATTTTTTTCAAAAAAGGAAATATAAAATTTAGTATGCAGATTTATTCCTTTTTTAAAAACTAATACAGTAATCCGTTCCGAATTGAAATTGAGCCTTTTAAGCATTGATTGTTGTACGTTTAATATTACATTTTAATATATTTATTGTATTCTCTTTCTTTGCAGAGAAACAATTTGATCCAGATTCAATCTAAGAAATTGGCTGAAGAGGTGAGCACACCAACACAAATTTCATATTTAACTTATATCTGAATTAATTTTTACAACCACAATTCATATTTTTTTGTTTTCTTTAAATTTTCTTTATTTAACTTTGTATATTTTTATAGACTTTCATACATTTTTATGCATTTGTTTTTTATGGATCAGTGAAAGTGTGTTTGTCTTGCGTTCTATACTTTGGGCTTCCAAGTCTTTCTTTTGAGGTCTATTGTTTTCTTTAGTTTTTAGCACAAAGTTGGCTCAACATTTTTCCCCTATTGTGATTTCTTTGAACCATCAATTTCACCATAAATTATGCACAGGTTGTCGCCTCATTTAGCGCTCTCCTCTTCGATTTGCATTTGCATTTAAATGGAGTCAAGGTTATTGTACCAAAGAGTGTGTGTTTGTGTGGAAAAAATGTTACAATTTTAAACACTTTTTAAAGATGACGCACAAGAAATTTCGAAATTTGCCGGATTAAAGTCTGAGCATCTTGCAGCATCTGTGCCGAGTTTGAAAATAATATATTATTTATGTTTTCTTGTGCTTGGGCAATATAAAAACAACTACTGCGCCAAATGTCTTGTTGAATATAAAATTTAAATTTCATACAATTGCGAAACCGAGACGGAAACGGAGACTGAGACGGGCAACAGACTTTCCACAGCTGTAATTGCAGCCAAAAATTTTATGATGCCATCCCCAAAATAAAAGAGGAAAGGGGATTCCCCAAAGTACTAGAAAACTGCATTTGCCCAGCAACAGAGGGCGCTGCACTAAAACCAAAGGACAGCAGACGGCACAAATGGAAGTTTACAACAAGAAATGGCAGAGAGCTAATTTTCCAGGAGCAGGATGCAGCAGCAGTAGCAGTAGCAGGTGCAAGGATCACAAAATGCAGGAGATACACTCACACACACACATACACACCCACTCTAAGGATGGAGGCGTCGACACGAAAGGACACTTTACGCTCGAGCTGCGTTCCAAATTGTGCGGGCAAAGACGAGAACACGAATACGGATACGGATACGGATGTGGCGTACGTGTTGTGAATTCTTCTGGCACAGCATCTCTGCTCCTTCAGCTTGTCAAATTACATAATCCACTCAACACAAGGACCACAAGGACACACCCCCTTCAATTAGGTTTAATGTTTAAGGCGTGCTGAGGTTCGATTTGAGTCTTATTGCTGGACATGCACAGGGAAAAAATATTACGTTTATTATGCAAGTCCTTTAATTAATTTAATAAGATCTTGCGAGAATTTCCAATTATTTCTTTTATATAAAGAAAAGTTTTTCCCTTTTGAAAGGTTTTTCTTGTAATATTTATATATACACTATTTTGTGGTAAACCCCACAGTTATGAAATATTCAATGCCATCTTTTATCAGATTTGTTTTTAGGGTAATTCCCATTTGTTAATATATTATTTCGCTACACATTATGATTCACTGGCTGCCACTGTCTTCTGTAAGTTAAATTTTTTGCGCAATTCTCCTGCACTGCTGTTTGCCTTCACAACTTTCTTTTTGCTCTTAACTCTTCCTGGCTGGCTGAACTCGAAAATTGCCCGGGCGCAGTTTCTAGACACAATTGCCATGCTTTGTTTGGTTTTTTGAATTGTTTAAATTGCGACATTTCGAGAGCTATTTTTGTACGGGGCCCGGCTTTTGATTTGATTTGCACACTTTCAGTTTCACTTACTCACTGCACTTTTTTTGTATATTTATTTATATTTTTTTGGAGACCGCCGTCGGTGCTTCTTTTTCTCAGCGAGTCGCAAACGAAACTGAAAGCGAAATTTTGAATTTAAAAAACTGGTTGGCTTGACTGGTGAACTTAGGCGACGCAACCGTCGTAAGCGTAAGTTTTGTAAAAAAAAACTCGAAAGAGCTGCACATGCGCCGTACGATGTCTTTCCGGCTTTGAGTTTGGCGTTCGTTTGACACGCGACGCCGGCGCAGAGTAGCCTCCAACTCATGGGGAGATACAAATATATCTGTAACATAAAGCTATAGTCTGGGAGATTCCAGAGCAGAGAAATATATATAGAGAGAGCTCTGGGAAAAAGAGAGCTGTAGAGCGGCTACAAGAAAGCAGAATCTGCTTCAAGAGATTGAAGAAAGAGCGAAGAAAGCCTACAGATTACGATTTTGATGCTAATTTTCAACATGTATTAAGAAGTAGCACAAGATATTATTACAAATACACCAAATTGATGACAAACTTTAAAGCAAATAAGGAATATATAAATTATGTAGATATAGATGTTTTAAAGATATTTCAAAGCTAAAAAGTATTATATATAAAAAGATATTTATATAATCGAGAGGATGTCAAAAATATGATAATTTGCTAGTAAACTCTTAAATTAAATAAAATATATTATAACAGAAATAGGGATAGGTACGAATAAATAAATATTCATGCCTTAAAGATATTTACATTGTAGGAGTTAAAAAAAAGATTACTATTCATAAAAGCAAGCTTCTAAAGTGTTTAATATTAATTGTTTATAATTAACAAAATTAGTAAAAATAGGTTTAAATGTTTAAAACTCATCTAAAAGCTTTCATTAATTCCAATCAAATTCATTTCACAAGAAATTTCCAAAAGCACTTGAAAACACGTGCCTCTTTCAAGTATTTATTTATTTACTACTACCCTTAATTTCAATATAAAATTTAGCAACCATTGTGTCAATGCAGCAGGTAATCGGATTTAGCATTATTGATCTCTTTGCTGGATCATTCACCTCGGGTTACACACGATCACTTGTCAATCACAATTAACGCTTGCATTGCGCCAATTAATTGGAACATTTGTTACACTTTTCCGAGCGAGAAATGATTGTCCAACAAAGACAGACGGACAGACAAGACAGTTGGCCAGCTAAATGGCTTAATTATAATGGGCCAAAACGGACGGAGCAGCAGCACCAGCAGAGTCTCAGTGAAAGTTTAGGCCCCCAGAGAGGAGGCCAAGCGGCTAACAAGCGGCAAACAAGCCCAGGCCCAACTGAAACAGAAACTAAATCGAGTTGAGTAATTTTCTGCTCCCCCGCCAGTTGGCTTTCTTTTCTTTTCCATTCCAACTGTTGGTAATAATAATTTACACCTTTTATCGCCTCTGAGGTAACCCCAGCAGCATTCAGCTGGGATGATGGGATGATGGGGCTGAGCGACTTGGTGACTGTTTTGGCGGTCAACCGAAAGCGAAACCCAAAATTAAAAAAAACTCCCAGTAATCGTGGGCTGTTCCTCGAAGTCGGTTTTAAAATCTGTGCCAATGTCTGTCATTCAACTTGCTTCGGTTTTTTTTCGCAATTTGTTTACAATCGGTGCCTACGTTATGCAAAGTTTGAACCGCCGTCTTTAGGTCATGATTGATGAATATCAAGCCGATGGACTTTTATATCCGCCTGTGGGAGTATATATTAGGGGTGTGTTGCCCGACCATGAAAGGTCGTCAATGAATCTCTGATTCATCACAATTTTATGGAGCTTTTCTCAAACCCAAATAGGTGAAGTTATTGCGTTTTTATGTAGCTGAAATTAGAGAAATAATTTGGTAATATAGAAATAATAATATTAGGAAAAAGTTAGCATTTATCAATAATTTGATACATTTTTGGACAAATCAAAAACTGAAATACTAAGAACTAAGTCAAATCATCCTAAATTTCAATCCAATTTCAATTCAATTTCAATTTCTGAACTAGTTCTTATAGTGCTAAAATGCAAAAAAAAAAATTTCCACTAGACATGGCTAGATCGATTCATCTGTTCATTCTGACCAAGAATATATATGATTTATAGGGGCGGAAATGATTCCTTCATTGTGTTATAAGCTTCTGATTAATACTAATACCCAGCAAAAAGGTATAAAAACAGTACATTTTTTTAAACAATCTGTGTTTTCCAAATATCATAATTAAGCCAAAAATGCACTAATTTCAATTCGGAAAACTGTTTTGTATTAGTTTTCAAAGCGCTAATAAATCTGCATATTTCGTTTCTTGATGCTGTTAAATGCTTCAGAATAACAAAATAATAACCTACAAAAAGGTATAAAAACAGACAATTTTGTAGAGTAATCAGTGTTTTCAAAGATCGTAATTAAGCCAAAAATGCATTAATTTCAATTCGAAAAGCTGTTCTGTGCTAGTTTTCAAAGCGCTAACAAATCTGCATACTGCGTTTTTAAATTTTAAAAATTCCATTTTTTGTCGATTTTTGACAATTTTAATGATGTAACCCCTTATGTATTTTTCAAATTTTGAAAAAAAATGCAAAAAATTATTTTTTCACTAGCCGTGCCTAGATCGATTCAGCTGTTCATTCTGATCAAGAATAAATATGATTTATAGGGTCGGAAATGATTCCTTCATTGTGTTATAAGCTTCTGATTAATACTAATACCCAGCAAAAAGGTATAAAAACAGTACATTTTTTTAAACAATCTGTGTTTTCCAAATATCATAGTTAAGCCAAAAATGCACTAATTTCAATTCGGAAAACTGTTTTGTATTAGTTTTCAAAGCGCTAATAAATCTGCATACTTCGTTTCTTGATGCTGTTAAATGCTTCAGAATAACAAAATAATAACCTACAAAAAGGTATAAAAACAGACAATTTTGTAGAGTAATCAGTGTTTTTCAAAGATCGTAATTAAGCCAAAAATGCATTAATTTCAATTCGAAAAGCTGTTCTGTGCTAGTTTTCAAAGCGCTAACAAATCTGCATACTGCGTTTTTAAATTTTAAAAATTCCATTTTTTGTCGATTTTGACAATTTTAATGATGTAACCCCTTATGTATTTTACAAATTTCGGAAAAAATGAAAAAATTTATTTTTCCACTAGACATGGCTAGATCGATTAAGCTGTTCATTCTGATCAAGAATATATATGATTTATAGGGTCGGAAATGATTCCTTCATTGTGTTATAAGCTTCTGATTAATACTAATACCCAGCAAAAAGGTATAAAAACAGTACATTT